ACCTTTCGTCCACCCCCCCTCTCAAGTTGTTTATTAACAAGTCCACATATTTCCACGCTTTGTGGTAAAGATCCAGGTTCTTGTAGTTTAAAGATTGGCTCTTTGCTGGTTTTGCTTTAGTATTGTGGTGCTCAAGACCAATGTGGTTTATATTCCTTTTATTATATCCTTTTACTTCCCCGCATTTGTCCATGATACCGTGACTTGTGACATAGTCCTCGTGTATTGTTTTCAATCACTGGGGGCTGCACACTAGATCATAATAGGTACAGGTATGTGGCCATAATTCTAGTGATAATAAGATCCCTCGGTCCCCCACTTGGTTTTGCAGGAACAGCTGGAAGAAGCAGCCAGTGAAGCCTTTCGAGTCGCCGAGAAGCTGGCAGAGAAACGGACGCAGAGAAGTGGTGCCATGGCCTGTGGGGACCAGCGTCGTGAAGCGCTGGAATGATGGTTCGATTGCGGGGAATTATCCCAATATACCAACCATAGTGGGAAAATGGGGGAATATAGTGGAAAATCATCTATAAATAATGGGAATCATAATATACCAAACATGGAAAAATAGTGATTTACCCTCTGGTTATGACTAACATAGCCATGGTATAGATGGCCCATTTATAGATGGTTTACCGAACTAAAAAATGGTGATTTTCCATGGCTATGTTAAATAACCAGATGGTAGTCTGATTTCAGATAAGGGAATTATTATCCGTTGCCCAGAAAAATGCTGGATTTACCCTTTAAGATAATGGCTGGTTGGTGGTTTCAAACATTTTTTATTTTCCATTTCATATCTAATATTTTTCAGAGGGGTTGAAACCACCAACCAGATGGGGATTTACTATGGCTCTTACTGGGAATGTGATGCAGATGGGTTTGCCTGAAGATGGGAGTCAATGGGTGTGTTTCACGATGGAAATCGGTTGATTTTACCAACATCAATGGAGAGAGACCATGTAATTACATCTATTACATCTATTACATCATGATGGCAAAAAAGTTTTTTAGTTTAACCAATATCAGTGGTAAGAGAATTAGCAAACATGGTGACAAATGGGTCACTTAGCAGCAGCAATGGAGAAAACCTCTATCGAAGATGGTGACGCAACTAAGTTGCTTTCAACTAGCGTGATGGTGATACACCCCACCTAACACTGTCCATTAGTCAACAAAATGGATGTGTCACTCATCAAAAAGTTGTGCTTGAGCAAGTTGTATCGTATCGCTACCCAGTGGTCCCACAGCGTACGTGAGGATGAAGAGAAACCAAGGTTTTCGGAAGTTTTGGGGAGATAGCCACGGGGATACAAGTTTTATGGTCTTCTCTCGGTAGTCGTTGGGATAAGTTGTTGCAGCAATGACCTTCATTGGATGACAGAAGCTGCGCAATCTGCAGGACTTTTGAAGGTCTGATACGTAAAGGTGATACCAGCTATTGATCGTACCAACAATAGGAATAGTGGCGAATTAGATGATTTCCATGTTGGCATTCCCGAACGCTGAAGATCAAAATCAGATTGAGATAGGTTCAGGCGAAGATGGATTAAGGTATGTTAAGATATGCCGCATTGCCCCAAGCGTTCCATTTGAGGTGGAAAAGGTCGAAAAGCAGGGTGTGGAGCCTCAGGAGTGCGCAAACCCTCATGGGAACATCCCCAACCTTGGATATGTAGCACTATAGTTTGATATGTGGAAAATCCTCTAGTTCTTGGCATGTTTCGGGCTATAAATGGAAAATAACTCAACTAACCAATAAGTTATTAGCAAATAAATGGGCTATAAATGTGTTATTGGCAATAACCAGCACGGGATTATTTTTTGATATTCTTTGTGCACTACCAAAGATTTTTTCTGTCGATCTTCAGATGTCGGCAGATCCGATTTCGTTTCCAGATGGGGGATCTCCAAGCTCGCTGGCTGGTTTATTTCGTGGAAAATCCCAATCGAAAATGGATGATGACTGGGGTGGCATGGGTAGCCCTATTTTAGGAACCCTCCATATATTAGAAATGATTGATGGTTGGTTGATGATTAGTTGGATGGATTTTGAAATGATGTATCCAAGAATGAGCCCAAAAAGGTGTCCTTTATCGGGGGGTTCCCCCAGTTGGTTTGGGATACCAAATCGGTGGGCCCCAGCGAGAGAACAACCAAGGCAGGAAAGATCGTCCGCCGAAAGTGATTCGGAGGCACAGTTTCAGCTGTGAGAGGCTGCGGATCAAGAAACCTAGATGTGGGATGGTTAAATCAACTGTTTGGACCTGGTTATATATACGTATGATATTATCTAACAGTTAAAATAGTAAGAAACCTCAAAAAGGGATAGGAGAGGCTGTGAGTTTGCCACTTGATGTTTGGAAACGCTTGGCGTTCTGCCCCTTTTTTGTTGCTGGTTGCTATATTATTGTATCAGAGAATATCCCAGTACTTGACGGTGCAATTCCAGTTTTGCTAGTGGGTAACAATTTTTATAGAGGCAATATTCCAACATATCCCAACTTATGGGGGTGGACTTAGCATGGTATCCAAGTAAACTAAATCCCAATTGTCATTGTCAGTTCAAATCAGTTTTTGTTGATGGTTACGTCATGTTAAATCCCCATTTTGCTGCTTTCAATACGCTGACATCCCATTTGGGTTTGCTTTGTAAATATTTATATACATATATCGCAGCCTCGGGAAAAAAAAGACAGAAAAAGTGAAATCCTACTTATATATATATATATTGAAATAGGCATAATTCACTTTTTCTATCTTGCTGGTGGCTAGTGGCTATGTAATTGTTTTGGTATTGAAATGATCTCCCGGTTTTTTCGACTTCACCAGGTGGCAAAGTCCAACAGCAAGTTGGCGCAAAGGTGGACCACCATGGGATTTCACGGGGATTTCACAAACCAAAAAGGAGGATTTCACCAATGAAAACCGAGGATTTCACAAATTTAAACTGGAATTTGGGATCTGAAAATGGGTGATATTTCAAAAAAAAAGCTATTTGATAGGGAAAACGATGATTTAAACGATAAACCGCCACTGTTTGGGTGTTTAATGTTTTTTTTGTTTTTTTTGGGTACCGTATCTTCAGACAAACCCATGAAACATATGTTCGCAGAAATCAGGAGCATTCATTGTTGTGGCAAATTGATGAAACATCAGAAAATGGCTATGTCATGGGAGAATCATGGGAAAACCATGAGATATGACTGTTAAGACCATGATCATTGATGGCCCAAGGGGGATTTCCTACAGAGGTGGTTCTAGTTAAGAGCAGGCCCTGGCAGAAACCAACAAAAACCTATCATCTGGATATATAACTATATTATAACTATCATCTGGATCAATTACGATGACCAAATAGGGCACTTGAATGATGCCCTGTGATTTGGATGGTAGAATATCCCCATGACGATTATTGGTTGATAGGGGAATATGAATAGGGATATGATGAGATAGAATGGGATAGACACCCACCATATTATGATGAGATATCTCATCATCTTCCTCATGGCCCCCATGAAATATAGTCGCGTTGGTTGTTACTGGACTTGTTGCGGCTGCCACCATGGTGATGTTGATGATTTAGTCTATACCCCTAATGTCAAACACCCCCCAGAAACCATGGCATATGGATGTATGTGGTATAGTAAGCCGCAAAAAGATAGAAAAGTACATCATCAACTTGTTAGTGGAAATTGGCCAACTTCAGTCTTTTTTCGGGGTTACAAGAAGACCATCTCATGTTTTCCCATCTGTGTTGATGGAGAATTCATGTTTTTGGTAAATTTAATTTACCATGATTGAAGATTGGATTTCCAATATTAATTCCATTATTTATTACTAAAGATTGGAGTTGCTAATATCCTGTAATAATATACCGTGCCATTATTAAATTCCCTTCTTTGTTGGCTAACCTTGTTTCATGGTATTAAACACACCCCAGAAACCATGGTATGCCTTCTAGCTTCTGATTTGAGAACTGGAACCGAATTTGTTCAAACATTATATACAATGCTCAAACTCTACCATCCCATCTTTTTCCCATCCAGATGAATCATGTACCATAGATTAACACATTATGATTAAAGACTTACTAGTGCTAATCATCCCATTCCCCCATTCCCAGCCCTAAGCACTAGTAAGAAGATGAGATGTTCCAGTAAGATTGGATTTGCCAATATACATCAATATACCATTTTTCAGAAATACCAGTATGTGTTATGCCCACCTTTGGTGAACATGTAATTTGCCTTTCTCCCAATCGTGCTGGTTAACTAAATCCATTTTGTCCAATCCATATGGAAGATAATGGTATGTGCAACAGATAATGGTGGTTTCTTCACAGTAAGTCTGTGTTGAACACTTAATCATATTTATTGAATGTACCCAAATATATGGTATCTTCATGATGATTAATATAGCAAACACAACAATAGTGTGTTAATCCCATTATTTATACTAATCCTATGAATATTGACCATTCATGATGGTATCTTAATAGACCATCCCAATGTCACCATCTGAAAAAAAAAAGGTGGTATGTTTACCATTCCCAGTCATGGGTGGTATAGTGTTGTTTTTTCCCACATATGGTATAAAATAGTCAATATGAGGAACATAGTCATTAAACATGAATAAATAGATGGTATAAATCATTCTCATTATTAATGGCTGTCATAACTCCCATCCCTTTTTTCCACGTCGACCCCGTCGTTCATTGAAGATGATATACCATGGATTAACATGCCATGATTAGTATACTTAGTATACCATTAAAGATGGTTAATATACCATATTCATCTGGATGGCTAGCATTTTTCGTTATATTTTAACGTTGTTTTTTCATATTACCCTCTGGTGATTTTAATATATACAGATGATTTTCCTAGCTATATATAAACATCCATTTAGTTCAGGGATTTTCCATAGCTACGTTAAATAACCAGATAGTCATATTAAAGATGGTTAATATACCATATTAACAAAGTTGTTTTTTCATAACCATGATATGTTCCAAAGACGTCAGGCATTTGGAAGCCAATCGCCTGAACATCGAGGGCATCCACTTGGATCGCAAGTACCGTTGGGACGAGGCGCTTCCCGGATTCGATGGAGCTAGCGTGACGACCCAGGAGACCTCCATATGGAAAATGAGATGTGAAAATATGCTGTTGTTTCTGGTTCACCAACAAAGAATATCAAACATGATCAAAAATGATAAACATGTCGGTTTTGCCAAGAGAAAATAATAAAAAATGGTAGTAAGAGTCAGAAGACACATAGAAAATATGGAAACATGATGGTTTCACCAACGGTTATGTCGTGATAAAACCACAGAACACTAGAAACGCGAAGAAAGAAAAGTGGACCGGCAGGAGGTTCCTGCTTCATGAAAGCAATTCGATGTGTGTGAGAAATTTCTACTGAAAGATTGGAGTCTTGGTCAAAAGGAATGGAGGCTCCCAGTGCGGAACAGAAAGTTGATTGTCCCTTCAAACAAAGGTTGGCGATTGGATATCCCATTCTATTCCATTCTATTCTATCCCATTCTAGCCCATCATACATTACAAATCGAAAATTCTCATGTTCTATCCCAATAAAACCGCATTTGTAAACAAGCACAATGTTGGTTGCCATGCCAAAAACTAACCAGGCAGCCTATGGCCCTCCCAGGCAGCAGCTGTTTTCCGCAAGGCCATGACAGCAGGAGTCTCAGTGAATCCCGCGGCAATTGAAGGAGTTAAGCCGTTAAGCCAGAAGAATGATGGCCTAATAATGGGGATATGTTGGGACCTGATATAATTTGGAACATCCCAGTCAAACCCCTAGTTCATATGTATATATATATATATATTATATTATATTATGATATTATATCATATTATATTATATGATATGATATTATATGATATTATATGATATTATATGATATTTTATGATATTCTATGATATTTTATGATATTATATGATATGTTATATTATATGATATTATATTATATATATGATAACAATGCTTCTAAGCAACTCAGAAGTTACTGGAATGCAGGGTATTAATGCACCGCTGGTGGCCATAAATCATCATGCAATGTGGTTCTGGCTGTCCAAAGGGGTTCTGAACCAGGTAGCCTGGTCAAATTTCTCATGTTTGTTGCTTCAACCTTTTGTTTGAACACTTTTGGTGGGTTAAATCTGGTGAAATCACAATTTGCATTGACTGCAACACCAAAGAAACTAACTTTTTTGTTGGTTAGAATCCACTTTTTTTGGACTTATCCCTGTTTTCATGAGTAAGTTATAGTAAATCCAAATTTGTATGTCGTACATCCACAACTTGATTGCTAAAATCATCATAATGTTTGTTGGTCAAATCCCTATTTTTGTCAGAAACTTGGCTGCCCCAAAATTTAATGGTTTTAATGGTCAAAAATGATGATTGTCCCTCTCAAAATGGCCAGGAACTTCTGGTTTAGATCCCTAAAAATTTCATACACACCCCTTGTTTGAACCGATGAAATCCCCATCTTGGTTGAATCCCATGAAAACTCTGGCGATTCGCCAGATCAAGTCAAGAAAAACACGAAACAATCATGAAAACATAGGCTGGTTGGTAAAATCCCCAGTTTCGCTGATGATATCCATCACCATGTTCCATCATTTTCCCAGTTTCGATGCTCAAAAACGCCTTGTTTGGCTGAAAAACCCGCCAAATCGAGGTGATGCCTCACTTCGACCCACGCACGGCCAACAATTTGGCCAGTGCAACTGGGATCCGACGACGGTGGACGTTTTTTTCACGTTTTATCCATCCGACAGGAGATTGGGATCCATGAAAATTCAGGATATCTGGTGGGTTTTTGTTCAGGATCCCAATGGATTTTCAGGATATGTTCAGGAGATTGGGATCCATGAAAGTTCAGCAAAAACTGCACAGTTGATGCTGACTTGATGGGGATCTATGGATGTCAACTGAGAATTTGTGTCGGGGCCATGAAATATCCATTGAAATTTTGAGTTTTCTCCCATGGTCGGAGTTTGATCAGATTCCCTTGGTGATCAAGGGCCAGCCGTGAGGGATAAAAGGGATCCGGGAGAGCATGGCACAAGAATTGAGATGAGAAAAGTTGAAGATTCATGAAGGTTTGTCTCAGGTTCATAGCACCTTTTTTAAACATATGTTTAAAATTTAAAGACTTATCAGAGAAGCCGAGGATGAATTGGTTTGTCGTTTTTTTGGAGAGCAAATCAGCGGTTGATTTGTGAAGAGCAAAGCTGTCAGGTTGGTGAATGACTTGAATTCAGCCTGATTGATCCAGCTATTTTGATGTGAAAACCCTGCAAAATCCAGGGCTTTGACCAAGATCACCGTCCCGCAAGGTAATCTACAAGAATGCCACGTATCGTTCCTCCGGTTGGACTGAGGTCAGAAGGGGGCTAGTTTGGAGACGGAGAAGTCCGCTTTGGTTCAAACCTTTCGAAGTCTCCAGGATGAAGGGTTTCCCATGTTTCACTGCTTTCACATTTTGTTTTCTAAATTGTCTGAACATAGGCCCCTTAAATTTGACCGTTTATCATCATGTTCCCTATCAAAATTGCCATTTTTGCAGGATGGTGCCCCCCAGTTGTAAGTTGGTTTATAAACCCCATGAATACTATAGTTATATCTACCATAAACCATAGTGACATTGGACTTACTGGCACCAACTTAGCTAACGAACTGGGGCACCACTTTGTATGCTCCATTTTCAGACACAGCCATATGGCCTAGAAGGATCCACCAAGCGCCTGTGTGGTTCTTGCCATCTGTGGTGCTGGGCCCAAAGGATTTTGATAGGCGTTTTGAAGAACAAAAAGCTCAGTATGATTGTGATTAATGATTTATTACATTTTATTAATTTTATTACTATTTATTGATGTATTCAAACCCTCTTGGTATTGAGGTGTGGTGGCGCATGAATCCCCAAAACTCATCACTTACCCTTTGGAATCTAACATCACCAGAAAATATCAACCATTTTCGGATGTTCAATTTCAAAAAATCAGGGAAAACTGCCCCTGTTATCCATTTTCAACATGCCCCTGTTGACAATAGTGGTTGCATTCATTTGTTAAAGAGCAACGTTCAACATGTTCAACACCCTATTGGATGATTGCATGGTGTTACACTACCCTTTATATATTGGGAATTATCACAATCCAAAAATTGGTAATTTCCTTCTGAACCAACCGTTGTATTTCATGAGGAAAACTGAGCACTGCGCACAAAAATCCTCCATGTTCATACCCAAATTCCAGATCTAATTAGTGAAATCACCGTGTTTCAAAAACACCATGAAAAACACCCAGGTTTGATGGTGAAACCTCCGCGTTGGTTGGATATATCCCATTTTGACCCAAAAAGTCTGGAAAAGCAATCTTGTCAAATCACTAATTAAACTAAACATCTATGTATGGTTGCTCAAATCCCCTTTTAAAAAAACACACGGGCCTATTGAGATTTATGGATGGCACGGTAGCGACATCTGGCGACCGGAAGCCACCAGAATTGGCCAGGCCTCGCCCTTCTACCGCGAGGCGCAGAAGTTGTTGCAACGCGCCTTGAAACTGCTGCCAGGCCGTGCTGTTTTTCGCTGTTGGGTTGGTGTTGGGTGGAAAGATGTGGACACTTTGCCACCAAAATATGGGAAATGGGAATTTATATGGTGGACATGAAGCAAAAACAATTGAGATCATCGTCAAATGGAGTAAACATCCAGTGCTTTGCCTCGATTTTGTTCAATCAACGCAACAAGAAACCGGTTCAAGACACGGCGACAAAACCCGGGAAAAAGACACAAACAACATGTGGTTTTGCCAGTGTGGATCTGAAAGCAATTGGATAGGGGAAGACTCAAGATGATAAGTTGACATTGCCACTCTTGTTGCTCTTGTTGCTCACCATACCCAGATGTCATTCGCTTCTGGGAATTAATTCACCACGGAAAAAGTTTGAAATATGGGTCAAGGACATCAAGAGATAGATATTTCATGATATTTCACGTATTTCAGCAGCCATTGGAGCATATTGGAGCTATGGAAAAAAATTCGTCAAGGTCACCAGAATTCACCAGAAAAATCAGCTACTACATGCTACTGCCCAGGCCCATCTGTATAAGAGTACGAAGCATGTTACAGATGCCAAAATCACGGGATGCCACCTTTGTTTCAAAGATGACCTTCCAACATGGATGACCAAGTCTTCAGCCTTACTCATGTGGGACAAAAAACGTCTAGAAGAGTCAGAAAAAACATTTGCAGCATGATATTGTTGAGCATGACTTGCAGGGAACCCCAAAAAAAACAGAAAAATGGATAACAATGGTCTGAAGTTCCACAATTTTCGCTTCACAACTCCCCTCGCCATGGCGCCTGGTCGCAGCCGCAACCGCATAGCCCTGGCCTTGGCTCTGGCCCTCGCCGCCTGTCGTCATGTCTTCGTGGCACCCTCTTCGCCACGCTGGCGCCACGTTGCTGCGCGCGGTGCCACGGCGCGGCAGAATTGGATGGAGATGTTGGAGGAGGCAGTTGGTACACCTACACCGGAGACACCGGATGCTTGGAGATTGATTCTATGGGATGAAAAATCCTCAAGATTTTTGCTGGGATTTCATGGGATTGGGATTTGATTGATTGAGATGGAGGGTACGGTCAAAACCTATGAATCTATCAATTTTGGTGAGATGAACACCAAGAAAACCAGCTAGTTTGGGGTGCACTAGGTACCAGGGTTTTGACCCATAGCCAGATATGAATGGGACTTAAGCGTTAAGATTTCATGGGAATGTAGCAGGTTTGGTGCAAAAACGGCGGAGAGGAGCTGAAATTGGTAATCCATGTTGCATTTTTGCCAAGAATTGGTTGAACATGTTTTTTATATCCTGTAGTTTGCCACCATATTTGATTGGCAAAATGGTTCCTGTATAGACGTTCCCCGCAAAACTAAGCCATTGAAAGTTTGATAGCATTGAAGATCCCATGCGTTGGTGGTTTCTTACCTTTAAAACAATGCCAGACCCCAAAAAATCAGTGAACTTCCTGTCAATTATCATCACTGGATGAGTTGTGGGTAAATTATCACGACCTCACAGTTCTCCCTGGAATACTGGTCTATATTGGGGAACTATCCATAATATAGCCTGATTTTAGTGATTTATGATTAAACACATGCCAAGAATGATGGAGATACCTACTCATCTATAGAAAATGGGAGTGATATGTAATGATAATCATTTATAGAAAGTTGTTACCCTCTGGTTATTTAACATAGCCATGGAAAATCAACATTTTTTAGTTCGGTAAACCATCTATTTCTATGGGCCATCTATATATACCATGGCGAACTGTTAGTCATAACCAGAGGGTAAATCACTATTTTCCATGTTTGGTATATTATGAGTCCCATCATTTATAGCTGATTTTCCTGATTTTCCACTATATTCCCCTAATTTTCCCACTATGATTTACCATGTTTGGATGAGTTTGGCTTCCATGAAAAGACAGCACCTCGAGGACACGGCCATCCCCAGTAGTGTTCCAGCCTTGGACCCTGAGCTGATGACAGAGGAATAGCGGGGACGGCCATGGGCCATGGGCCAGAGAGATATGAAAAATTAACCATCAACAAATAGGGATTTAATGGGATTTCACGGGGAATTTAGGTGGATTTAATTGGATTTAATGGGGATTTAAACGGGATTTAAATGGCATTTATTGGGAGATGGGTGAATGTATTGGATATTACATACTGGTGTTACCAGTTTTATCATGTTATGCCCATTGAAGTGGTGGTGTTATTTGGTACAGTATGTGCTGCTTGCTTGTTCAAGTCAAGAGTGGCAACTCGGGCCTAGTGTATTCATACCAATTGTATCCACTTGCGATTGGCAAAACATGAAGGACGCAACTCCCATCCGGATAGATGTTATTTCTCAATTTCTGTTGCTTCTATCACCAATATTCTTGTTTTTTTTCGCCCCCGAATCATGTTCTCCTGTTCCGCTACCCTCTGGTAAACTAACATAACTATGGAAAATCAGCATTTTTAATGGGAAAGTCCACTATAAATGGCCCTTTTCAATAGCTACTTTGACATAACCAGAGGGTATCCTTCTCTTGTTTTTCTTTCGTCCTAGTATACTTCATCGATTTTCTGTTTCCAGATCCCAAACTGTTCAAACCAAGTCTTCCCCCCAAAAGCCCAAAAGATCTATAAAAACATCGATTACACCGGCATAGACCCCAGATAGAAAAGGTTTCAGAAACGCTTTCTTATTTGCCATGCATATGCCGTGCGAATTGGCTGCGGCAAAACCGGAACTGCTGGTTCCCAAACGTTGGAACCAATGCTTCCCAATCTTGGACCCACGAGTTCCCAATTCGAATATCAATTAGGGGAACAGGGGGGTAACAGGGAAACAGGGAGGAACACATATTTTTACATAAATGTTCCACAGAACGTTTTCATGCCTCAGCCGCTTCGAACCTGAAAGAAGAAAGGCAATTGCATTCCGCAAATCACCAGGCCGAAGTGATTGCACACTAGACCCCGAAGGTACCACAAATCTGAAACCAAAGGTTGTTGCTTATGGCAACAATCTTGAGAATGTTCGAGGTGGTGATCATGAACATGATGCTGTTGATGATCGCGATGATGTTGGTGCGCGTGATGATGTTGATGCATGTTATGATCATCACGATCATCCTGATGATTATGCTGATTCTGATGATGCTAATGGCCATGATCATGATGATCATGACCATGTTGATGATCATGCTGATGTCGATGACCATGTTGATGTCGATGACCACGTTGCTCATAATGGTGGTTATGATCAAAATTATGTTGATGATGATAATGCTGATGATTCTGGTGATGTTGATGCTGATTTTTTGATGATAATTTTGATGATCGTGATGATAATTTTAATGATGACGATGATGTTGATGACCATGTCGGTCATGATGGTGATGATGATCATGAAGATGATGGTGATGATGCTCATCGCGATGATGGTGATGATGATGATGATGATGATGATGATGATGAGATGATGATGATGATGATGATGATTACTGAAGGAAGGGCATCCCGTGCACAGGCGAGCCGGGACATCCCGTGCACAGGCGAGTCGGGCCATCCCGTGCACCAGCGAGCCAAAATCCCGTGCACACACGAGGCGGTTACCAATGGGTCCCAATCTTGGAACCGCGGGTTCCCAGTTCCTGGGCCTGCTTGGGAACCTCTTGCTGGGAACCCTTGCTTGGGAACCTGTTCCTGGGAACCTCTTGGGAACCTGTTCCTGGGAACCTTGCTTGGCAACCAACCTTGCTTGGGAACCTCTTCCTGGGAACCCGGTTCCCAACCTTGCGCCGTGCGGATTTGGCTGCTCCGAGGGATTCTCTTGGAAAAGGAAACCCTTCCTGGGAACCTGGTTCCCAACCTTGCGCCGTGCGGATTTCGCTGCCCCGACCTGCTCCGGAGCCTTTACTATGGCTGAAGACCCCAAGCTTACGCTGTTGGGGAAAAAATGTTTTGAAAGCTGCAATTCCCAAGAATTAGAAATCATTCGCGCACGGGTTCCCAGTTTCAGGAACTGCTGGTTCCCAAGCCCCAATCTTACATGTTCCCAGTTCTAGGAACTAGCGGTTCCCAAACATTGGCACCGATGCTTCCCAATCTTGGTACCACAGGTTCCCAGTTCGAAGACTGCTGGATTCCAAAGATTGGAACCCATGCTTCCCAATCTTGGAACCATTTGTTCCCAGTTCTAGGAACTACCGTTTTTCAAACGTTGGAACCCATGCTTCCCAATCTTGGAACCGTGCGTTTCCGATTCAAAAAACTGCCGGTTCCCAAAGATTGGAACCTCCCAATCTTGGAACCACGGGTTGCCAGTTCTAGGAACTGGCAGTTCCCACTGGTTCCAAGTTTGCAGGAACTACGTTTTTCAAACATTGGAACCAATGCTTTCCAATCTTGGAACCGTGTGTCTACAGTTCCAGGAACTGCTGGTTCCCAAGATTGGAATCAATGCTTCCGATGCTCGGAACTGTAAATTCCCACTTTTAGGAATTTCCGATTCCGAAACGCTGGAACGAATGCTTTGAAATTTGAAACCGCGGGTTCCCAATTCGGGGAAACGCCAGTCTCCAAAGATTGGTGGGTTTCAAGTTCCAGGGAATTTCCAGTTCCCAAAAGTTGAAATAATTATGTCTATAGTAACTTGAAAGATTCGCAGTCCTATTTGCGAGAATTTGGACTTCCTAAGGGTTGGGCTATGTTTCCGAGTTTTGACACGAGCTTCATTTCCAAGGACTGCGAATGAAAAGGTTGTAACCTTGGCGTCCGATTGAACAAAAACTTCTGCAATAAGCCTTTGTTGTTTTGCTTAATGGTCCGCCAAAAAGATGTTTTATACATGCATTTTGATTTTGATCCAACGCATATATATGTGCAAGATGTTGTATGAAAAAAGCGGCCATGGTTTTGTTTAATGATGATTAATGGACCGGCATCAAGAAAGGCACTGGTGGAAAAACAAGTGCTGCATATTGGACCGACGTGAAAACATGTTCTATAAAAACAAAATCGCTTTGTTTTGCTTATTGGTCCGGTACCACCGATGCGTTCGCAATAGGCCTGCCAATAGTGACCGACCGCAAAAAGAAGGCGCGTGATTAAACCAAACATATTGGCAAATAACGTAAAGTAATAAATATTCAAAAAGAATGTGACGAACGGCTTCCCAGTTCGAGGAACTGCTGGTTCCCAAGCAATCTTGGAAGCACATGTCCCCAGTTCTAAGAACTAGCGGTTCCCAACCATTGGAGTCGATGCTTCCCAATCTTGGAACCACGGGTTCCCAGTTCGAAGACTGCTGGTTCCCAAAAGACCGAACCTATGCTTCCGAATCTTGGAAGCACATGTTCCCAGTTCTAGGAACAAGCACTTCTCAAACATTGGGGCCAATGCTTCCCGCGGGTTCCCAACAGATGCTTCCCAATCTTGGAACCACGGGTTCCCAGTTCTAGGACCTAGTGGTTGTCAAACGTTGGAACAAAATGCTTCCCAATCTTGGAACCACGGTCCCCCAGTTCCAAGAACTAGCGGTTCACAAACGTTGGAACCAAAATGCTTCCCAATCTTGGAACCACGGGTGCTCAGTTCTAAGAACTAGCGGTTCTCAAACGTTGGAAACAAAATTCTTGTCTATCTTGAAACCACGGGCTCACGGGTTCACAGTTCGAGGACTTGCTGGTTCCCAAGCACCCTGCACAAGCTGCCCTTGCCAGACTTGCACAGCATCTTTGCCAGACTTCGCCACCGCAGCACCCACAGCAGCCTGCACAGGAGCCCGCACAGCACCTTTGCCAGACCTCGCCACCGCACCTTGGACAGCCTGCGTGCACGGCACCTGCACAGCTTTGCTCGGACCTCGCCACCGCACTCCGGACAGCAGCCAGCACAGGTCTGCCATTCACTTGCGACGAACACCTCACCCCTGCACACTGCCAGACCTCGCCACCGCACTGTCAGCAGCAGCCTCATCCCGGACAGCCCTGCACAACACCTTTTTGCCAAGCCTCACCCGCACAGCTTGCACAGCCTGTAAAGCACCCTGCACAGCACCCTGCACAGCACCCTGCACAGCACCCTGCGCAGCACCTTTGCAGCACCTTTGCCAAACTTCGCCACCATACTCTGGACAGCACCCTGCACAGCACCCCGCACAGCACCTTTGCCAGACCTCGCCACCGCACTCTGGACAGCACCCTCCGCAGCACCCCGCACAGCACCCTGCACCGCACCGTGCGCAGCACCCCGCACCCTGCACAGCATCCTTCACAGCATCCTGCACAGCACCTTTGCCAGACCTCGCCACCGTCACAGCACCCCGCACAGCACCTTTGCCAGACTTTGCCACCGTACTCTGGACAGCACCCTGCACAGCACCCCGCACAGCACCCCGCACAGCACCCTGCACAGCACCTTTGCCAGACCTCGCCACCGCACTCTGGACAACACCCTCCGCAGCACCCCGCACAGTACCTTTGCCAGACTTCGCCACCGTACGCCACCGCACTCTGAACAGCACCCCGCACAGCACCCCGCACAGCACCCTGCACAGCACCTTTGCCAAGACCTCCCCACCGCACTCTGGACAGCACCCTCCGCAGCACCCCGCACAGCACCCCGCACAGCACCCTGCACAGCACCTTTTCCAGACCTCGCCACCGCACTCTGAACAGCACCCTGCACAGCACCCCGCACAGCACCCTGCACAGCACTCTCCCCTCTCAGCTTTCCAGCTTGCCCCTGGGATTCCACGCTGCGGCAACACGTTTTTTTTTGTGGAATCAAATGTTTTCAAACCTTTGTGTTCTGCTTTGTTGCGGTGTTTTGCTTTGTCATTGTTTTCAAGCACATAATTTTCCAAATTTGTAAATGTGCGAATCTATCAAGAACACAAATCGTTTCGAAAACATGAAAGAACACAATCATACACAGTCAAATCGATGTACGGGAAAACATGCATTTTTCAAGATTAAGTCAGAACATGAATGATAAATGATCGGTGTCATATGATCTGTACTCCATGAATCCTTCACCGGTATGCATAGTCATTCGTCATAACATATCATAACATTGACTAACCGACACAGAACAGAATATGGCTGAATCATTTGACTTTTTTTGGTCTCCAAGTGCCGCCCCGCGGGTGACAGGGCATTATCTTTATGGTTATTTGTTAAGTAGGTATGCTGTTTATAATTACAGTAGTTACTTTTCGAACAGCAGTGGACCTGTCGCCTGGAGGGCGCTACTATGGTGATCAGGGACCAAGTGCGGAAGTCCTTCTTGAGGAGGGTGCGGCAGAACAAGTGCAACCATTTGTGCAAGCAGCACAAGGGGCACAACAAGTGCAACCGTTTGTGCAAGCAGCACACAGACTTCGCCACAAAGTTCGCCACCGAAGACCTGACCTTTGAGAAGTAAGAACCCCTATAGCTTCCAGCTATCTGGGGAAAAACACCAAATATCGACCTCAACTTTACAAAAATCATCAAGACATCCCTGAAAATCTCCACATCTTCATATTTTTGCATTTATTTTTTCATGGATTTGACATCCCTCAACGTCTCCACATCTTCCATGACCTTCTTTGGGTCCAGGAGCTTCGCGCCTTCGTGCTGGAGGAGAAGGGTCTGGCGATGAGCGGCGAGGACTTCGAGGTGAAGACGCCGGAGGGGCAGCTGGTGCTGAAGATCAACGGCGGCAACCGGGTGCCCATCCCCGGCGTGGCGCCCTGGTGGCTGTGATGGCTGTGATGCTCGTTGAAGTCCGTTGAATTCGTTGATGTTTTGAGTAGCGGATGGGGATGTTGAGGAATTGATGGAATTAATGGGGAAATATGATATAAATATAATATGTTTAAGATATAATGGGAGAAATATGAGCAACAAAATGATGTTGATGGACCGTTATCATCTTGTGTTTTTGCTTTAGTATCCCTTGCCCATCACTTCCTAATGGTTGATAAATGTGTCCCCATCAAAATTGCGACCAATTGTAGTATCCAACCCATTTTAGAAACGCCGAGTTCTTTACCCATTGCGTGCCCTTCGAGTATGTCTGAAAATGGGGTATACCATCATGTTCCCTATCAAAATGGCCATAAAGGAGTTATAAATTATCCGTTTTCAAACACGGCCAAATATATCCAAATATCACATTGTTGATATTGTTAGTTATATGAGTTATATGTCGCAGACAATAGTCCTTCATGTCCCCAACCAAAAATCAACTAAACATCCAATAAAAATCAACTAAAGATCCCCAGCGTGTTTGGTTGGTTTTATGGGGCCAAATCCCTCATTCAATCATACAAAAATCCAGTATTTAAAAGCAGTAAACATGAAGTAACAATGCACTAAGAGTCCATGTTTCACATCACCTAACAAATCCATTAAACAAATATTCCAGAAATCCACTAAGCATCAAGTAAAAGTCGTTTCAAAATCCATTGAAAAAAAACATCCCATGTTTCACATCCCAGGTGTGGGACAAGTTGTCCTTGGTCACCGCCGGCGGCCAAGAGATCGCTACGTTGGATCGACAAGCTTTCGCCATGACGGCCTCTTACGACCTCAAAAGGGCGGATGGGCAAAAGTTTGGGCGTGGCTGGGCCTGTTTTGGGCAGAGATCAAGGGATTTCACATGATTTCACCCAAAAAAACATGGGTGGGATCGGTGGGATTGGGATTGAGTGGGATTTAATCATTTGAATATGATTTACCCTCTGGTAAACTAACATAACTATGGAAAATCACCATGCTATTAATGGGAAAATCCACTATTTCAATGGTCATTTTCAATAGCTATGTTAAATTACCACAGGGTAAGGGAAATCAATGGAGTTCACCCTCGAAACCATCAAGAAATGGGTGATAAATCACCATCAGTGTGGATTTTTTTGCGTCGGGAATGGTGATTTGAGCAACATACATGATGGTGGAATAGGAATATAACCACAATCCTACCCCGAATATGAAACACTCAAAACAGAAACCATGGATCCATGTCAGGCATTCACACATTCAGGGGAGGAGATTATTTAACCATTGAAAATAGGGAGTTCATGGTAAATGTTGATGATGTTAATGGGGATATTTCTGATGGGATATGGTCAAGCAACTTTTTCTGGCCAAGTCAAATCAACGATTTTCATTGGGATGTAATGGAGGTATAATACATAATAATACATATAGTAGCTTATAATTACTATATTTCATGGGATATAAGTACAACATAGTACAACAATATCCAACAATCGAAGATTTGGTTGTGACTGTGTGACTGGGGGATTCCAATTTTGAGAAACGCCACTTATACTTTACGAATGCACGTTTTGTTCGTTTGCTTGGGTACGAAATTTCAACCCAAAAAATAGCGATGCAATGGGAAAAAGGCAATGATGAGAGCGAGCGTAACAGGATTGAAATCCATTGAGAGATTGGCAAAAACCAGGGAAAGTGGACAACCAATCATAGAAATATATATATATACCTTGTACTTCAGAAACCTGGAAAAAAGCAGGATCTGAATCAAGAACCTGGGTATTTGCAAAGATCAAGAAATTTCCTGCATTTGGATGACAAAAGTGGGATATCCTACTTTTCCTCTATTTCAACATGTTTTCATATGTTTTCCCTCGTTTCTTCCGCTCCCTTCCGCTCAAGTCGCACCAGAGACCTTTTCACCTGCTTCAGCCATTCGCGTATGCCACGCCGGGAACTCAGACCTCCTGGAAGCAGGGCTGAGAGACAACTAGTAGCATGATGTAGGGTATATCAACCAGGATGGTTCTATCTTCAACGGATTTGGCTCAAGGGGACCGATCCATTTTCGAAAATCTGACAAGTGTCAGTGCCAGTGTTGGTCACCATGGGTGATTCCTTTGATACAACTGAGCTTGCAAAGGCTTGGGACGAAATTGAGACCATAAGGAACAGGCTTCGAGATGGAAAGCCGCTTCTGACAGTGCAGAAGTCTGGTACCGACTCATCGATCCAGGAGTGTAAGGCCAACCAGGATGTCTTAACACCTTTGCTGCACAGGTTTTTTACTTCCAAGCTCAAGCTGCCTGACATCGGAAGTCTTAGACATGAGATTGAGTCCCTCTACCTTAAGGCCAACCGGACCCCATCAGAATCGGAGATTGACGACGATGGTTGGGAATTGAGAACCATGATGAGGTTTGTAAAACGCAAAGCAAACCGTGGTGACTTTTCAAAGGATTCCCGACAATGGTATTTGAACAAATAATTTTGTTAGTGTTTTACTTTTGGGGAATGTTTTTGGGATTTTAAGAATCTATGGAAGTTTCCTGATATTTCCCCTTTGACTACGTTGTCTCCCAAGGACTGGGACTTTCAAGAAATGGTGCTCATTTTGAAGCCCGAGCTTGAGGCAAGGATTCTAACAATCCAGCAAGGACATCGACGAAGCTCATTGAATTATGGCTAATCTGAATCCCTTCCCAATCACATGGCATGTTTCTTCATTGTTTTGGGGTTAGCCCTTACACAAACAGCCGAGTCTTCCAGGCAGAAGTCAATGAGACCCGACGCCGTCAGAAAGCTGAAGTTGAACAATTTGAAGACGAGGCTCAGAATTGGGGGGTCTCGGGGATCCCAGAAATTGGCCAATGAAATTTGATATGTTAGCAATCTTGGCTGCACATTGCAACCTCAGTTCAATATCTTTGGAAATCAAAATCTTTAAGGTCAAAGTTCATCAAAATAGCCTTCCAAATTCTTATGCCAATCCATTGCAGCCACAAACAGGAGACTGCAGAAGATGAAAGTTCTGAAGAGGAAGGTGATGAAGGCACCCATGAATCCACAGAGCCTACTGCCAGCATTCCTTCACAATCATCTGGGATTGCCCGGCCACCTGCTCCCCCAGTGGCTCCTTCCGCAGCAGCTCCAGTGGCAGAGCCTTCCAAGCCTGCAGCAAGCGCGGGTGCTGATGGGACCTCTGGCTCTGTGGATGCTGAGACACGCACCCCGACCACAAAATGGATGATGGCACTTACAAATCATGGAACATGTGTTTTTTTGGGGTGAATGAGATGAATGCAACATGTATCTACTTGGTGAGCTTGCCAGGTATGATCTCTCGAGTAAATGTTTTCCAAACTGATAGCCAAATTGTTGCCCAAACATTCCCACTCCTGATCTATCGCCCGCTTAGGTAATGCTCAAAAAGCTCTGTACCGCAAGACCCTCAATGAGGAGTTGGCGCAGTTGCAAGTTCAGCTGGCCGAGCTACTGGCCTCAAGCTTTTAGATCCCCATGTGAATGTTATTTAGGGGGTTGATGCATTCTTTCAAAGACTTGTGTCCATAAATATTGTGTCTAAATATGTTGATAGATACGTATCCTTTCATTTCCGTTTCCAACCCTTGAAGTCACAGTGTGAACCCATGCCTGCTCCAACCAAGTGCCTCTTTCAAGGCTACGAGCGAAGAAATCCTATGCCAAGCCTGCAGCGCCAGTGCCGCAGAATTTGGACCATGTCTTTGAGAAGGTGGCTGAACCAGGACGCGGGCTAGAGTTGCAGCAAAATATATATGGTGTTCCACCTTAATTTGATTTCAATTATACACATCATAGAAATAAATAGAAATAACATATATAATTTTATTCGAATTTTTGTGGTTGCAGGACATGTCAAACCAAAGTCTTCATCAGCATCTGCGGTTGACAATGTTGACACGCAGCCCATGGACGATATCATGGACATGCCTACACCTGATCCTACTCCAAAACGACCTGTTTCAAGCCACGATGTGACCAAAAAAAGGCAACAGTATCAGAACCTACCTTCTGTTGTCATGGATGGAAAGCCTTTGCAAAGTCAGAAGATCCCAGAGGGAAGCCCAGGGTCGTCCAGTGAGTCAACACGGGCCCCGACATCAAGTTGCTCTGGGGAAAAATCCAAGAGCTCTACTCCTGATGAAACCCCTGATGGTGTTCCCGCTCATGATCAAGTTGTTGATCCGGAAACAAATCAACCGCTCCGTCGTTTTCGCAGAAAAAAACCATCTAGCTTCTTGAGTGGTGCCAGTCAGGAAACCCTTCCCCTTGCCATGCCTGTTCAAGATGAGGCTACAGGCGCTTCTGATCTTCCCGAGGTCCTGCGTTGCAAAGAAGTCATGGGCTCATGGGATATATACATGTTCTAATTAATAATTAATAATCTATATATTTTACAGGATTTTTCTCATATAAAACTTACCAGAGCCTAGAGTGACCTGTTCCTACTTGCTTGCGGTTCATCTCACTTGCCCCTGCTCAGGTTGTGACCCGCCGAGACCAGCTTGCGATCAAGCGACCCCCGCCCAGCAATCGTGGCAAGGGATGTGGCCGTGGCCGTGGGAAGGGGAAGTCACCCAAGTCTAAGGCTAAGCCTTCCAAAACCAAGTCTGGGAAGAACAGCAGTGGCAAAAAACATGATGTAGAGGATGAACCCGAGGAAGATGCATGGGAAGCATGGGAAGCATGGGATGAGTGGGATGAGTGGGAAGAATGGGGTGATGAGTGGGGATGGTATGGTGATGATATGGATGAATCCCTCCCTTCCCAGAAAGCCCCCAAGCGCCCCAGAAAGCCAACAGCAGCAAAGAGCAAAGCAAAGGCGAAGGTGTCCAAGTCTCCTGACACACCCCCTGAGCCTGCGATTTCCAAGACCAAGAAGCGAAAGACCAATTCTGAGCCCCATGATGTTGCTGCCACCCCAGTGCCAAAGCCTGCAGCAAAGCGTCCCCGAGCACCCAAGACCATGCCAGCACCCAAAGCAAAGAGCTTGCCATCTCCCAAGTCTGCAGCAGCCCCCAAGCGCACGGCAGCCACCAAGCGTGCAGCAGCCCCCAAGCGTGCAGCCACGCCCCGAAATGCACTGAACTCGCCCGTCATCGACCGAATGATTGCATTCACAAAGAAGATTGACATGGGACGTGACTTGGAGGATTACAAGGAGAACGTGCGCACAGCCACCCCTGACTTGGGAAAGGGGTGCCTCAATGTCTACTGGACCAGGTTTTCCTGTGGACTTCGGTGGCAGACTGGCCGCAGCTATCGTGATGTGGGAACCTTCAGTTTCAATCGTGGGTGCCCCGGTGAACCCCGACTGAAGTGTGCCGTGGCAGTTGCTGCGACAATTGAGCTTGTTTCTCAACAAACATAAGAAAACTGAGCAATGTTTTTATTTTGTGTTTTGAAAATAGGTTGTTCCCCCCATATCCCAAAATTTACATCTGGAATCCTCCCTAAGCTTTGAGGCTACGATGATGACCAGCCGTCTGCCGAACTTGAACCCGGAAGATGTTGATCCCATGATGGATGAGATCAGAGAGTACGGTCGTGAAGCTCTCTTGAGGATGGATCAAGATCAGAATGATGTGGATTGACCCCGTTTTGCTTTCAATCACGGGAACTCGTGGTGAATCTAGGTTCACTTTCTTTCTAGGATGGACAAAGTGCTTCATTAGGATGGTATCAGTTGGAGTTCAGCGTTGAACCTCGCTTTGAAACCTCAAGTGAATACAGCCAGTGTGCCATGCAAACCAAACACCAGGACAAAAAAACTCATGCTATCTAGTTCTTTTCATATTCATGATTATTCATGCTATGTATCTTTCGGAGTCTTGACACCTGGCTGTGGGGGATACTTGGGGAAAAGCATCTAGTATGCTTGATCTCCCTGCGTCTGTAGCACCACTAGGCGATCAGGCCATAAGCTTGACAGCCGGGCCGCAATTGTGCAAAAATGAAATGATGTGCCATATGTGACCCTTGCACTCTCGATCGCACCTTTTATTTTGTGCTCTCCCTTATTTTACACCCTTCTTATTCTCCTTCAATATGATTAGAATTGCTCACATCCTTACCCAGCATTGCCCATCGCCCAGGTCGTCCTCATGTTTCCAGGGCTCGCCGCGTGAAGAGGCGCATTTCAAAGAGCAGCCGTCAGCCTGCCACGCTTTCCGGCTGACAAGCAATTTCAACTTAAAAAATGACATGCATCCGCAACTGTTCGATGATTGCCTATGCCTTCAATACTTGTTGAAGTTGGCTCAATCCAGATAGAAACTTGGTACGTGCACACCTGGATACTCATGAATACACATTTGGATTGCACGCTATGGGCCCTGCAAAAGCTTGGTGTGCGCAGAGAACCCCAACTGCACTATGTTGTAACCATTTCAGCTGGATAATGGCTTGACCACTTCATTACTGGCACATAATGGCATCATAGAGGCGCCTTGTGGTTCTAAGGAATTTCTATGGGTGGTGGTCCTGGTTTACTACACCGAGGGCCTATTCAACTTGGATGAGGCTGGGTAGATTCAGGTAGACCCAACCCTTTAGAGCTGCCTATGTAAACACTGCTGAATAAAACATGCAATAGCACCAGTGTAAACCATACCCCAGCGGCCCGCAGGAATTCCAATGGCTGGAATACTATGCTGGCAAAGCAGCATGCACCTATGCTATGAGATCTGCTGGTTATACTTCGGCCCGTTTTGACTTGATGTACTGGGATCCCAAGAGCCAACTCAAGAGACCCAGAAATTTCTATGACCTTTTGACTCCAAGTGGTTTTGCGTTCCTTGGATGAAAAATGATTAAAATCAAATCATATACAAGATATGCTGAAGATAGCTGAAGCTTTTATTTTGCAGATGCAATGTGACAATTTCACTCTGGCCCTTCTCCCAATTTCCACGGTGCCCATCCGTGCCCTCTCCTTCTGCCAGGTTGGCCGTGGTGTTTGTGCTGAAAGGCAAACCCTGGGATTTCATCGCATGGTTCGGCATCAAGTGCTGCACATGGGTAAGTATAAATTCAGGAACGAGTTTGAGGTCAATATGCACAAGCATCGGAGATACTAGCAAGCGAGCTGTGATGCAAGGCAATTCCATGCTGGAAAGGAAAGGGTTGGAAGATGATGCCACAAACTAGTTTATTATAGATAACTCATATCACGCGAAATGACATTTCAAATTCTTTCTAAAACAGATCAGGTGGCTTGGAGTTGACCCACTGTCCCACTCATGATACTCAGAACCCGGCCTCTGCATTCCCTTGAGGACCATTTGCCTATGTGCGCTTGTGACGGCTTGTCACGGGACATGGTGCTTGGAGCAGCCAGGCTCCTCTGTACTTGAATTCTACCCTACGTGGCTCCACTTTCTCAGTTGTCTCCAGGAATTCTATGGGGCTGCAGCAGCCACATGTTTTGAGATTAAATACTTTTTTTAATTGCAACGTTCTGTACCAGTCTGAATTTGGTGTTATGTAAAACATTCAGATGCACTATTAAACTTAATACCTACTTGTCAGCTGAGGTGAGAAAAGTTAGATGGTGGATGTGTATGTATGGGGCGGGGTCTCCAAAACGCCAGTGGGCATGGTCAAATGGCAGGGCGATCATGCGCCTAGATGTTGGGTGGAAACGCATGAAGCCAGAATACCAAACAGTCCGTCACTACACAGACAAAAAGGGTGTTCGTCGCTATCATGGGACAAAGGCCTTACGTTTCACTGAGAACCTTGGACTAATGTATTTCACTTCGTATGGAGAATGCTGAAGGATGATTTGTCCCCATTCAATTCACTATGTTGGAGGGTTGCCTCTATCTAAGGAATTACCCAGCCAAGTTTGGGGATGCTATCGTCCGTCTTCGTGAAGACTTGGTTGCTTCCCGGATTCATCATTCCTACCCTTCGCCAGTGCCTCCAGGTGTTGAAACTGTCCATGCCGCTCCGCTTGACCAGGGCCTGTTTTCGACGGCCAATCTGATGGAGGTGGTCAAATATTTGAGGTAGGGGAGAGGACTAAATCTCCCAGACCATTGGAAAGCCATAATTCCCAAACCCTGAAACTACAGGGGTGTAGATTTCCTGCTTTGAGGAGTTTATCTGGAAACATCAGTAAATTGACCAATGATCGACGAATCCTACGTTTTCGAGTGTCGAACATATTCGAACCTATATATTTCCTCAAGAAACTAAATGGTTACTTTTCAGATTTGAACTGTTTCTGATGACTTTTCTATGCTCCAAATGAAGGATATCCCAAATTCTTCCCATCCAAACCCATATTCTTATCGACACATCCCATATTCTTATCGACAAAACTCCGTAAAAATCCCGTAAATATAGCAAAACCTGGTTTTTGGCAACCCGTAATCAACCCGTAAACATCCCATGAATTTCCATAAACATCCCGTAAAACCGCGTAATCAAAAAGTGGGATATTCATAGCAGGATTTCACGCGGCTCGAAATGGCTCGAAGCTGACAATATGTCGCTTTTCTCGAGCAATTCCCAAAAAAATCATTGTGACCCACGGCTCCGAGTAGTCAGCTTGGCTTTGGGGTTTCAAAATGCAAGCCCTGTCCCGCTGGTTGATTTTGAGATAAGTGCTTGTTTGGACTGCTGGCCATACTTGTCAGACATGCAGCTGACAAAGCTGTTACTTGCACATAGCTAGTTGAACACATGCCCCTCGCTGCTCATTTATAGAAAGGCTGCTGAAGTTTCATAGGGACTATAGCTGGATTGTTCCAGACACCAGATGTCGTCCAAAAGGTGGTCATGTGGAACCCTGGGGGATGGGTATGATCATGTTATGAACGATGCCACGGCTGATGCGGAAGCAGAACTACTTCAGAAAATCAAGGACCATATCTTGTTTCTCCAACAATGATCAAAAAATCAAATAAGCCGAGACCAGTAGTCAAAAATCTTGCCAGGATCTTCAGCTAGAAGTGGATCAGCTGGAATCCGGTGACGTTGACAATGTTGAGACCCCTGTGGGCGATACCGTTCCAGAGGCCCCTTCATTTATAAGTTAATTACTGTTTGCATGAGCCCAGATGTTCCCTGTCGTTTGTTTATGTTTGTTTCACTGTGTCAGAACTCCTGGCTGCACACCCATGGCCCACCACCCCTGGCTGCAGGTGCCTGACAGTGAAGATGCTCCAACTGAAGCACCTTCGAGCACGGCCACGGCCAGTTCGGATGCTGACAGTACAGAGGTGGTTTCCAGGGTTGGGTGAACTGACAGATTACGAAATCTGAGTACCTTCTTCTTTGCTTGCATCCTTGACTAGTCTTTGATTTTGGGAATCTTTCAACATGCATTTCAATCATAAACCTTACATTTTGCGTGCTGAAAACCTACAAATCATTTTATGTAGTCCATAAACTGGCCCAGAAATGCCGCTTGAAGGCTGGTCAACCGGATGAGCTTGCCTTGAAGGATGAGTACATGGATGTCAGTGGTGATAGCCCAGAGGATGGTGGAGATGGTGACAATGAGGTACTTGTTAGGCACTATGGACTATGGATAAATGAAAACACCGATCCCAAATCACAATTACTATGGGTATTGTACCATGATTGTTACTTGCTGGTGATCGTGTATCTAAGGTATCGGTCAACGACCTTTCAGTACAACTTGCCTTAGCATTTGGACCAGAAGTCAAGCAGGAACCTACCAGTGACAAGGAGGAGGAGGAGAATCATGAATCTCAGGAGGATGCTCCTGCTCGTGGATCATCTGATGGCAAGGTATCTAAGAAGAAGCGTGTTCTGACCCGTCGGGACTCTTTGATTGATATTCATGCGAATGGACATGCTATATACTTTTGGGTTCACAGTTTGGGTAGAAAAAAATACTTGGAATGCATTCCAATCATTGGCCCGTGATTGATATGCAAGTGAAACCACACATCCCATCACATCCCAAGACACCACAAACTTGTGGCCCAGGAACTTTTGAGGAACGCTGCGAAAGCCAGGATCCGCAGGATGGTGACGCCGAAAAGCAAGCGCACTGACCTGGCAGTACCGCAGTGGGTGGCCGCGGAGTGGAATAAGGGTACCCGTGAGAAGGAGCAAATGGCAGCAACATTACAGGAAGTCAACTGGGATAAGGCACTGGGTTCAAAGTCTGGATGTAGTTTGAACTCCCATTTTCTGCAAACTGATCCTTTTTTATCATGTGAATCTAGCCAAGAACAATATACCTAACACCTCAAATTCTTTGTCCTTCCAGGCGAAGTTTGTGGATGAGATGCAGAGAATCATTACTTCACGAAAGAAGGTGAGTATCAAGAAGGATCAGGGCTGGTATTCAGAGGCTGAAATGAAACAAGATCTCAAATGGTCTTCGATTCTTAGCTGATCAAAACTTGAGACAATCTTTGTGGGTTCAAGTCATCAAACCAACCAACTGGTAAATACTTGCCTATTGGCCTATTGCCTAGGAACCGCATCACTGCCGCCAAGAACTACTGCCTTGACCCGAGCCGATCTGCCACTTGCGTGAGGCACCCTGGGTACAATCATAAATGAAATCCATCAATTATGATTCTTGTTTGGTGTTGAATCCCACTTCTAAGATTGAATACAAAACCCATATCTTCCGCCTGCCTTGGCCGCAGGAAGAACCTGTACGACAACGCCGTGGAGTACTGGGTGACAATTCGTGAGACTGGAAGTTATGAAGAAGAACATGAGATGGCTCAAATGCACAAATCAACCACCAAGGCTTGTCTTTCTGAAGCTTTATTGGTGTCCAAAGTAGTTGTCAACTGTTTTCAATTCATTGGACTTGAAGTGTTTTTGGATTTTTTATCTTCAGGCTGATGAAGCCGTGAAATTTGAAGATGGATGCTTTGACCGCATCAAAGCCGCCATGCCCACCGGTGATGCACCCATGTCTGATGGTAGCAAACCTGGTGCTCCCAATGCTGATGTGAGTCCTGACCAACAGAACGCAGAACAGGACTGGGGTTTGCCAGTCATTTTTGATGTATCTATCATTATCGATCATTCCATTCACCAAACCAACAATCAATCAACCTGTTCTCCCTCCCATGTCGCTTGCCTCCAGAACAAGCTGCATTTGAAGCGCTACCTCGACTCTCTCCTTCGTTTGAGCACGAAGTTGAAAACTCTTCGTAGGGAGATGAAGGACCACTACACACCGGAATCTACCTCGGAGTCAAAACCTTATTATGATTTATTATGCATTATTGTTGAATAATCTAACACTGAAAACGAATGAGATTTTGGAAACCAATCTGGTAATGGTGGAACCCTCATCCTAGACAGCGTCAACGGAGCTGCATTGCCCAGGTCAATGAAGACCGTCCAGGACCACATTGCGAAGTTGGACCGGGAGTATGACATCTTGAATGAAGAGATGGCCAAAGGTGAGAATGCGAAATTTGGCCCTGAGCCTATGTCTCAGACTCACACCACAACATCTATCCCATATGATGCTCATGCGATTTCATCCTAGTTCTAGCTCCATTCCAAGCCATGTCATTTTGTTATGAGGTGGTGGAAGGTTGCCCACAAAAAGATGAACGATGCCACATTCGTGTTTGAAACTCAGAGGTCGGACTTGCAGGCAGTGTCATAGATATCTTTGTGGCTGAAGTTGACTATGTGACACCCCATTACATTTATATTGTCCTAAGAGTACCTTATAAAACAGAAATATCATTCCCAACCTGTCCCGTTATCCCAGTCTTTGACAACTTGAGGTCGAGCCGCGCCACAGCTGCAGAGCAGAAAGTGAAGCAAGCACCTCAGATGCTGCTACACACAATCGGGACAGGTGGCATGCGTGCAGTTTCCTTCAGGCATCCTAAAAATCCTTAAGACATCTTGAAACCATGATTCGACCAATCAGGAAATCCAAGCAGTTCTTTGACAAAAAGGACACCGAAAAAATTGAAGAGCCTGGCCGGATCACGAAGAAGAAGAAGAGAGAGCAACATGAGAATAATGCCCCCGAAACTGAGCGTAGAAGGGTTCGTAAAACCAAAACCAAAAAGTAGAGCAGTTTGCTTTTGATGTGAAGTACTGCCTTTGCAAGCTTCTACTGCGGGGTCAGCCCAAGTCTTTTCAACAGAATGTTTCATGTTTCATTGATGTCTTATTATTGTTTTAGAGGTCACTTATGTTAGGCCCTATTGTCTCAATCTATGGAACCCTTGGTGAAGTGATCAGGCAGTTGAGGTGGTTTTCACCGCCCCTAGTCGAGCCAAGCTCCACACTGATCCAGGCTGCACATGTTGCCAGTCACCTCAGTTAAATTTCAACATGGCCCAATGTCAAGTAACACCAGGGTGCAAGCAAAACAGTGATGGAGATGCAGTGGCATTTCATCGTTCGCCATAATGGTGACAACTTAGACGTCAATCTAGAGTGCACAATTTGGAGCACCAGTGGGGGAGCTGTGCTTCCAAGAGAAAAATCAGTCCTTTGCACCAGCTTCGGTTTATTACCCTCTAGCCTGAGTTCTATAAGCTGACTGGGTAATGTGTGGGTTCTCATCGTTGCTGCTGCCAGGTCCCGGACCAGGCTTGCGAAGCTTCGTCAAAGAGATTGGCCATGGAGTTCACGACTTAGCCGACAGCATCCGAAACATGAAACTCAAATTCTGATATGTGCGTGTGTCTCTGCAAATTCTCAAGTAAACTGCTGAGCTTCTATATCATGTGTTCAAAATGCATATAAATATAGAACATCATAAAACTGTCACCAGCACACCATTTACTACTGAAGTTGCATTTCAAATCTCGGGAGAGACCCTGATCCTATTGATCCATCTAGAATTTTTTGTTTGATTCTGTGACCATGAGTTGCCATGCGCTATGGCTGTCCGAACCGCAAAGGCAGTTCAACAGGAGGTCCCAGAGGTAGCAAGGTCCAGCTTGGGGCGCTTAGCGGATATCAAGGAGAAGAATGCTGAAAGGGATGTGCATAAACTCACTTCCAAGTTCAAGTTGACTTTGCCTATTCCGATGTCAAGCTTTAAAGCTGGATGGGAAACGTTTCAATACCTCAAAATGTCCTCTTGGGCCTACTTCCTTTTGTCCCGGAACCTGTGGCACCACCTTGCTGGACTGGAAAGCCCTGACATGCCAAAGTGTCAACAGTCTTGGTCCCTTTTCTGGGAAAGATTTCGACAAGTGAGGCCAGGCCATGAAATTTATCGACGACCTGGCTTTGACTTTAGTAGGTGCTGTGCACTTCTACTTCATGGAGATGAGGGTCGAAGTTTGAGAAAAGCTGCAGTGTTGATACTTGCTGCACACAGCATTTTGGGGTATGGGACACGCACTAGTTCCACGAGTAGAAAGGCTGAACTCCACAAGTTGAACTACAAGAAGACTACTTGGATTACCCGTTTCCTGTTGGGAGTCCTGCCAAAGGCATTTTACTCCATGGACGGGGATGATGGGGGAGGATCTGAAAGAGAGAATGAAGAGTTCCAGTCGGACATTTATGAAAATTTTTTGAACGCTATCGCCACGGATCTGCGAAATTTGTTTGACCATGGGATAGTAAGTCCTCTAGATGGGCAAAGGTATTTTTTCTGCACGCTGAATGTGATGGGGGACTGGCCTTTTATTCAACGATCTGGACACCTAGCCCGATCTTTCTTCAATGCTGCAAAGCATGCCAAGCCCACAAGGACAGACCCGAAGGGAATATGTCACAGGTGTCTGGCCGATCGGCCTGGAGTCCTCTGGGAAGATTTTCAGAGTCAGGTACCACCGTGGCTGGCGTCCATGAACACAGAATCCCCTTTCACCAGTGAACCTTCACTTTTGCTTCTACCTCATGTGCAAGAGGACCCTGCCGAACTTTTTGCATGGGATCTTTTCCATACCTGGCATCTTGGCTGTGCAAAGGTGTTCCTTGGTACAGCCGTTATCGTTCTTGCTACCAGTGCACTTTTTGTAGGGGGAGTTGAAAAGAGATTGGAAGCGGTGACTGAACGCTTTCTTACATGGTGCGATGAAAAGTGCTTGAAACCTCACCTACGGAAGCTTAGCAAGGAGACCATGAGCTGGACCACAACCACAACCTATCCTTCGGGTGTTTGGTCAAAGGGGCATACTGCTCGTGTGTTGAACAAGTGGTTCATTTCTGAATGTGAAGCCAATACCCGGGCAGTTCGCGCAGATGTGCTTCTGACAACTGTGTACAAACGTGCTGTTTCCATAGAAACATTTTTGCGGGGTTGTACAGCTATGAGCTTTGGATTCCGTCTGCAGCTGCGATAGAGATTTCCTCCCATGGGTTATCCTTTTTGAGGCTCTATGGCCATGGGGCCAAGCAGTCTTATGATATGACAAGAAGACTTTTTTTGATGCAGCCAAATCTGCATCGGCTCCATCACATTGCTTGGCATCTGGGTGAGGACGCTAGGAAAATGGACTTTGTTCCTAGCCCACTTGCGTGGAGTACGCAACCCGAGGAGGACTACATAGGGAGACCTAGTAGGGTGAGCCGAAGAGTTAGCCCTAGGTTACCCATACAACGTACCATACAGCGCAGTCTTATTGCAGCACATGCAGCATACAGGGATGCTGGACTTTTTATTGGGGACTGATGATTCTTTTTGTATCATATTGTTCACAACTATAAAAAAATATCGCCACCATTGATCAATTACCACTATATTCACATTATTTCACATTCACGGTGCCCAGAGTCCAGACTGAGAGTCCAGCTTGCGAAACGATCTCCAGCTCGAAGGGGGTGATGAGCTTGAAAAAGCCACAGGCATGAGCAGCGTGCTGGGGAAGGATGGTACCCAATGGTTTAAACATGTTCTTAAGACATCCTAACATCTTTGATCCATTCAGGGTTTACACTTATTCCCCAAATATGTTAAAACCTGCATTTGGTCCCAATTTACAGGTTATTTTTGACATCCTACTTTTTCTTGGGATATGGAAGCTGAAGGTATACATATTTCCATTCACATCATCATCCATGTATGAGATGTAGAGTTTTATTGTTAGCAATCATAAATTTGTTGGATCAAACCAACATGTGTTTTTCCAATCATAACCAAAAATTGTTGAGAACTCGGTCATATCAACTCCCAAGAGGAAAAGCATGCAAGTTCCACATCGATAAACTGGTCATGATCGGCTTCACATGAATGGGGAATGGTGACTTAACCAAGTAGAGTGGGGTTTTAATATGATTTAATATGATTTTATGGTTTCAAAACTGTCAACATCTATCAAGGAATGGGAGAGTTGCGAATTCAAAAACTCCGTCAAGACAAGAGCATTTGACAACGGACATCGGACTTGGAGGGATTGACCAAACCGAAAATTCCCCTCGAACCACCCCCTCCTCCCCGGAATTTTCCGCGGAATCGAGGCATCTCCAAAGCAATGTTTGCGTTCACCAGTACCTTTGAACTCTACCAGGAAACGGCTGCCTGGTAAAAAAACAACAACCGAAAGATACCCTTTGGTAATTTGTGACATAGAGATTCATATGGATTTAATGGGATTTAATGGGATATGAATGGGATAAATGGAGATTTAATGGGATAAACTAACAGTTTGCTGTTGAAATTTGCCATAGAAATAGTTGATGTGGCCACCAAAAATGGTGGATCTTTCCATCGTTTTTTCTTATCGTTTACCAGAGGCTGCTGGGTGATTTTTCACACCCAGGTCACCGTGCCAGGCCGGCTAATGGACATTGATATTTTTAATTGCCGTTGGATTGCTAGACATGGGGAAGTTCACACAAGAAATTCACACTTGATTTTTAACTGTATCCGATTTTTGCACGGATTGTATTTGCTAGTAGCCTCGTTTTCTTGCTGGTTTTAAGTGATGTGTGTTTTCTGGTCAGTTCTGCTACGTTTGCGACCCATGATGATTGCTACTGTACACACCGCGTGTTGGTGAAGTTTCCGTGTTTTCTATGTCCTGTGGACCCTCGATTTCTATAAATCCATCTGTTCGAAAAACCATATGTAGTTCACTGACAAAAAGAAATAGAACTGATTGGATTTATAGAAATACTGATATGTGCATCAGTTCCTATAAATCCATCAGTTTCTATTATATAATCCATATTTTTTCCCCAGAAAAAAATTTCAGAGTTTGACCAAGAATCACGTAGTCAAATCCATCTTTCACCCGAGTGGGTTGGTCTTAAAGAATGTGGAATTTAGCTCCTCGAATGGCCATTCTAATGGGGAAAAAAGGTGATATTTGACCACTGGATTTACCATGTTCCCCAACGTTTTCAGGTACCAGGTCCTCATTTTTTAGATATGTTGGTCGATGGTTCGACCAGAATCAATTATTTTATGATCCCCATAATTCTTTCCAGAGATTCAGATTCAGATGAATTTCCCAGTTATCATGCCACAAAACTATATAGTGGAACCATCCAGGAATTCCAGGATCATGTGGTGTAAACCCCCCTTTTTATCCTGTTTACCATCCCCAAGTAGCATTACAACATGGGTGCTATGAAAAAAACAAATACCCCAAGTTTGGATAAGTTTGGTAGGTTTATTCGCCAGGGTGGTTTCCCCACATGAATATCATGAATCACCGACCACACATTTGATCAGTGTTCATTTGAGCCCTGTTGGTTGATGAGTTCGTGGATTATACGACCCTTTATATCCCTTTATATATCCCATAGGATCCATGTATGGTATATATGCTAACATTTGGGGTATATTGATGGTAAATGTTACCATATATGGCATATGTGGATCCTATGGGTATTGGGGATTCTTTCATAATGCCAAAATTGGGAAATCATGGGAAATCCCGTTCTAAACCAACCAGTATGTAGTCATATTTCGGGATGGCTAGCAGCCACTGCTCAATTCATCAACCCATATAGTCAATGGGAGATCTCCAGGATCCGATAAAAATTGGAGGTACCATATTCTCAGGCCTATGTTTTTGGGCTATGTTTTTGCGGGAATATCCCCAGAAAATATGGCCCAAAATATGGTACTTACTAACGTACCTCCAATGAATCATGAATCGGGTCCTGAACTTCCCATTGATCCTTTTTTCGTGTCCCAATGGGACCCATTGATTTTCCGCAGGAGGATGATCCTGAGGGCGGTCCTTTGCTGAAAGCCGAAGGCTCCTTCAGCGATAAGAACTATGTGCCTCGACATCCAGCGAGTGGGGTGTTCCTGACATGGCATGGAAATAGTTGGTTTCTTGATGTCTATTGAATGTTGATCTTGGAACATCCAATTTTCTTGATGTCCACAAACTCAGATAATCCACAAACTCAATTTTCAGATGTTCCTGACATGATAATTAAATGTTCATCTTGGATTATCTGAGTTTGTGGACATCCACGTCGAACTGATTTTATCAAGGAGTGTTGATGGTTCGGTGTAATTTGGGGATTGGTTTGGTCTTGTATGCATCCCATGTTCATCTTTTTCCAAAATACATCAGGTGTTGTACGTCGAAATCATTCTGTTAATGATTGGGTAAAGTTTATTTGGGATGATGGAGAAAAAACTACCAAATTGTTTTGAATCAAGGTTTATCCCACACTAAATGTGTCGGTGCAGGTTCATTATTGGTGCGTTTAAAATGCTGTATCCTATTTGCAGACAGACCCATATCATATAATCTATGAATATTCATTAGATATACATCCATATTTTACCCATCTCATATTATATTATATATACCCATCATATAATATCATATAATCTAGAAATTATACCCATATCATGTTTTATATACATATATATATACATAAACAGACAGGCTTCCATATATACATATATATATATACATATATTATTGGTGACATATCCCATTGTATCCGCATGATAGCCCCATATGTAACCAGCTGCTGTGAGGTCATGAAATCGCGTTCCGGTCGAGTCGTGGCCACCGTCACGCGTTTGAAGGGCTTCACAGGGGGTATCTTGGTGCGTCAACGCGTAGACGTTGAGACGTTGGAGCGATTTGTTAGTTTAAACACTTTGTTTAGTGTGGCTTTATGTTTTTTGTTGTTGTTTTGTTTTTTTTGCAATTATTTATTTATTTTGATGTTGATATATTTTTTTGTTTAATGTTTTTTGGGTGGTTCCGAAATTCTGACCCATGATCGTTTGGGAACAAATATATAGTTTCATAACGGGCCACAATTTGGTTCGAACTTTGTGACCATCGCAACTTTGAGATGTTGTGTAGAGTCCATAGGATCAGAGTGATTAGCTGCGGCCTAATCAGATAATATGGTTAAAACAATGCCATAAACCAGCCACGACTGGGAATGGAAAACGAATCCCACCCATTTATGTATTTTATGGTGAAATTGGGGGATAGTGTATTATTGTTTTGACCAAATTTATTTAAGTGTGTTTCATTTTATTTCCCTGTTTTGGACAGAAATCGGGGAAGCAAATAGTAGATGGACACTATTTCTCTCCAGATCCATTGCACGCTATTTCGCAATTTGATCAGATCCAAGTGCCGGATTTTTCAGTTGTTTTCACAGTGAAACGGATTAACATCATCCTACCATAGCTCGGGATTTCATCTCGGAGGCAATGTGGACAACTATCAGGTCATTGTGGCCAAGGTCGGGGGGTTCTGGGCTGAAAGGGGCTGATCTATCCATCTTCTGGGAGAAAGGGGAAGAATGGCCTCAGATCCCCAAATGGCCTCAGAAATATCCTGACTTCAGGTGAATTACCAGGAAAAATTCAGCCAGATATTGCCATGGGAAGCAGCCGATTAGTAGCGATCAGGTTTTGTTGCACGGATTTTTCTTGCAAGCCATAGGAAAGCAGAATTCATTCAAATTGTAGCTATATGTAGCTATATCATGTGTTTTTTGACAAGGACCCACAAAACAGCAATTTGGCGAACTGATCTATATACCATCTGGTTATTTAACATAGCCATGGAAAATCACCATTTTTGAGTTCGGTAAACCATCTATTTCCAACGGCCATCGAAAAACCATGGCGAACTGTTAGTCATAACCAGAGGGTAACTGCTTGGTAGTTGAATAGTTTGTACATGCGGCAGTATCATTTTTGGGAGAGAATGGGTGTAATGGGCAGTTCCATCCCTGCGAGATTGCCGGTGTTTCACCAAGAAAAACGACTTGGGACTTCGGACTTCGGACTTCGTCAACTGGTCAATCCTATAGGCTATATCACCTATAACCATTGGGACATGATCATCAATAGTCAACCTTAATGGATTAACTAAAATCGAACAAGGACTTCACAAACCTGGACAAACCTACCCTCATTCATCCGTGACCAGCGGGTGATTCTCCCGGTACCCGCGAAGCGTTTTTCATGATCATTTAGTATCACTTACTAGTAACTATTCACGATATTATCATACATAATATTATCAGTAAGTGATACTAAATGTTATTAGTAAGTGATTTACAATAATATTCAGTATTAATAATTAATAGATACTAAATGATATTAATAACTAATAATATTCTGGAGATACCATGATATTAGTAAATAATTAGTTATTACTAAATAGTTTTGATACTGGAGCTACAATGATATTCGCAACCATTCTATCCCCAAAATATCATTGCCATTGTAAAAAAAACACTGACAGTCAATGCTGAACCTATACACGGGCGAGTAAATATCCATCCACTAATTACCATGTTGCTCCCTTTTATAACCCTATTTGATCGAGTGGCCATTACTAATTCCATTACTAGTAGCCATAGAACTCGTTCCCATTGCTAAAATAATGATAACACGAATAGTCTAGTAATTACTAGTAGTTTCTACTACATCTGCCATGACTAAGAAATCCTGGTATTGCTAATAGCTACTCATACTATCCAATAATTGCTGATAATTACTACTATACTTAAGACTTAGTAATGATTACCCATACTTGCCACTACTAGTCCTTAAACATATCCAGTACTTGCTCATATCTAACAAAATCATGAATTAGGTATTCATATCTACAGTAGTTACATATAGTTACTCTACTACTGTATATGACTTAGTACCACAACTAATATACCATTAAGAATCACTATATGAATTAGTTCAGTACCAGCAATTGCTCATCACATACTGCATTATATAGTTATTAATATCTAGTAGTTACATGTAGTTGGAGCCCGACCCATAGACGGCCGTGGAGTTTTAAGCATTTTTTGGCAATTTTTTCGTTTTTTGATGGTCTTGCATGTCAACTAGCACACAGACGTCATGCTACATTATGGTTATCTTGGGGTGGGGTTGGGTGGGGTGGGGTGGGGCAATGACGTTCATGTCAACTTGCCCACACACGTCATGCTACGTTATTGTTATGTTCTCTTGCACTTGCACACACACACGTCATGCTACGTTATGGTGATCTTCTCTTGCACTTGCTCACACACGTCATGCTACGTCATGGTGATCTTCTCTTGCACTTGCTCACACACGTCATGCTACGCTATGGTGATCTTCTCTTGCACTTGCACACACACGTCATGCGCACCATTGTTTTTGCAGATGGAAACCGTGCTTGGGAGTCACATGCCAAAAGTTTCAAAATCAAACATGCCAAAGTGTCTCATAAAAACAAAGAATGGACCAAACAAATGCGAAGAACCTCCTTTTTTTTCCTGTCCACTGTGGCAGGGACGCAAATCGCTGACAGATGGTGGAAAGGCCTTTCCAAGACGGTTGTATGATGGAGTCAACACAAAAGAACACCCTGAATTGGAAAAGTTTGTCTTGGGTTACTGTTGGCGAAAATCTTTGGGACCATTGACACCTCACCGGTTTCTCGAAGAACTTTGCAAGGCCGTCAAAGCAATGAAGCGCTTCTGAGAAGAAGGAAAAAAAGTGCTGCATCCCAAAAAAAACACGAACTTATGTCAAAAAACGAAGTAGTTTTGGAGATTTTCAAAACCCTATTTTTCACGTCAACATGAGAAAAAATGACGTTTCGCTGTAGCGAAAACGACATTTTTGTTGATGAAAAACTCCTAAAACCATACGGCCGTCTATGGGTCGGGAACCATGTAGTTACATGTAATGTGGTTAAAACAATAATAAACCATCCCCCAAATCACCATAAATAGGTGGCATATAGTATAAACCATTCCCAAATGGATAGTTTATGGCATTGTTTGAACCACATATAGTTCCTCTTCATTACCATAGATGGTGATTTACCTATAAAAAATGGTGATTTTCCAGTTCGCTATGTGAGTTTACCAGAGGGTAATGACCATCATTGCCACTACTAAGCTCTAGAAAAATGGTTCCACAGGACGTTGACGCCAGCCTCATCCTGGCCATGGCCGTGGTCATCGACGAGATCCACGACGAGGAGAACCCCGACGCGGAGAACGGCGGCGAAGCGCTGCCGGACATGTTGGAAGACGCTAAGGGACTGCCGATGCCACGGGCGCCAGCCGCCATGTGCCTTGGTGAAGAGCTGGGAAAAGCGCTGCGAAAATGTGAAATGATAGGGAAATGGTGGGAAAAGTTGGAAAAAGTTGTGGCAAAGGTGGTGTGAAAGAGAACAGACATGGTGATTGATCGATTTTCACTGGGTGTTTAAACTGTTTCTTGGCGAACAAAACCTAGGGGTATAGGACTACCCTACCCTCTCTATATATATACATATTGATTGGGGGGTATCATCCAAGGAATGGGAATCCTGTTCTTAACCAACTAGTATAATGGAAAGACATAATGAAGGGTCTTTGAATAGTGCTCACGTGCAAAAACGATGAGAAGATGGTGGGTTAAGTGTAAAAACATGGTGATTGACCGATGAAACACGGTGTTTCAGCAATGAAACTCTGAAACATGATGATTTCAGCATGAGAAATTGTATTTTATTAGCCATGTTTTAATCCAAATCCCAGGTTTTTTTTGTTTTGACTTTTCCATATTTTTTGGGAATGTCATCATCCCAACTGACTTTCACTCCATGAGTTTCCCTCAGGATTCCTAGTGATCGACCGCCGCTGGATGCTGAGCTGATCCATGCCACGACAACAGCCTATGAGCTGGAAGAGAAAGGACTCCTCTAAGACGCGGCGCTTGCGGAGTTGGAGGCAAAATATATGGATTACCCTCTGGTAAACTGACATAACTATGGAAATTGGATGAAATTGGCCCATTTCTAGTTGATTTACCCATGAATAGCATGGTGATTTTCCATAGTTATGTAAACGTTTACCAGAGGGTAGATATGATTAGAATGGATTAGTCATTTCCATTCATTTCCAACATGTTCGAAACATATCCGCCAGATTGGTTTGGCATCTGAAAATTTTGGGGAAACCCCAAATCCAATGCTTGGATAGTGCCATTGCCAGATTCAACGAACCACAGGTAAGCCCAGCACTGTTTGGTCACCTCTTGGGTCGGTGACATGTGAAATCCCCAACATCTAAAGAATTGGACTAAATCAAGATAAAACTAGAAAAAATGACTTTTTATGGCTATTTCATTGGGGGTATACCATATTTTCCTACAAAAAATGTGTATATTTCTGGGATATCATGGGATCAAAAAAAGAGATCAAACACAGGGACATTTGCCACATTTTTTTTGAGGCTATGAACCAAGCAAACAGATTTTTTTTAATGTCAAGCCACTTGACCTTCTTCTGGGTTGGGGTAGTCAGGACTCTCCATGACTGGAGAAGACTTCGAAATCAAAAATCCTTTGGGCCAAGAGTCTCGGCACCAAGACTCTTAGTGGCTTTGTCCGCGGGGATACCATGGTTAGTTACCCTCTGGTAAACGTTTACATAGGGAACTGGAAAGATCCACCATTTTTCATGGGTAAATCCACTATTTCTAGGGTCACTTTCAATAGCTATGTTAAATTACCAGAGGGTAGATATGGTTAGTTAATGATCATTATCTCTAACATGACTGGTTGGTGGTGACTGGAACCATGGAATGGATTATGACTTTCCATTCAGTTGGGAATTTCATCATCCCAACTGACTTGAACTCCATGATTTTTCAGAAGGGTAGGGCGAAAAACCACCAACCGGATGACCATACTATGGAAAATCACCATGTTTAATGGGAAAATCAACTATAAATGGCCATTTTCAATAGCTATTTTGACATAACCAGAGGGCAATGATCATTATCCCTAACATGGACCATACAACACGACCATAAGTCATTGGTAAATTCTTTTTGCGATCGCTCGGACAACCCGTTGGCACACCTGGAAGAGTATTGATCGCAATATTACAATCATACATCATACATGTATATATATACTATCGGATATAGATTGATACCAACTATCGGATATAGATTGATACCAGGAATTACTAACCATTCCAGTTTCTAAAAAACAAATACAGAAAAAAAACATACTGAAGAGTTTCATTCTATGCAATCCCTTACCGCCCCATGGGTTTTTTGTTGCGTCGCGGCAAAGCCCAGGTGCTTTTGCGCATCAGTGGAGGAAACCGCCTGCCAATCGGAGGAATGCCAGTGACTCGGAAGAGTGTCTTCCATGGAATGTTCAGCCAGGATTACTACTGTAACAGGGGGGAAAAAATGTGATATCACCAAGAAGTGATTTCATATGTAAATCATATGTATAATTATATATATATATAGATTTTATATAATACAATAATGTGTATATATATATATATCATATATATATATATATATCATGAATATCATGAATACCATGGAATATGTTGCAATATTTTCACCAGAAAGATGCTTTTTACGGGGTTGGGTATCCCCCTATGCCAAGGGTTTCTGGACTGCCCCAGATTTGACCAGGTCTGGGACAAGTTGACCATCACCACTGCATCTGGTGGAGTCTGGGCACCGTTTCGTTTTACACGGAGGGGTCGGACACGTTCCGTGACCAAAGGGGAACGTGACCAAGAAAAACCCCCAGAAAGATGCAGAAATTCCATGAAATTAGTAGTTCTAGGTGTCCAAAAGAATGGTAAATATGTTTTCTGGTTGGTGGTGACTGGAACTTTTTTATTTTCCCCCGTAGTTGGGATGATGATCCAATCTGACTTTCATTTTTTTCAGGGGGTAGGTATACCACCAATTAGTTGGTAAATGTGTGTTTTTTCCTGTCTGTTTGGGGCTTGCAAAATGAATGATGGGATGCAATGGATGCAATGGGGAAGAATCGGGATGAGAATCACGTAACGTTCAAAAGACAACCGCGTAAGGTTCACAATTCAAAAACTTGGTGGAGGAAAATCATAGAAAGTGACCCAAAAATATGGCACTTGTTTGGATCCGCAAAAAGAAGACACAAAATCAATTGTAAAAAAGCATATCAATTGTCAAGATTGGAAACCCATCCAACTTGGAATGTGAAAAAGTTGTTGGAGACCGAAACTCCTTTTCCAACACACAACTGTTCCTTCAAGATGTGTCTGAAAATGGACCCTAAACTCGGTTTGTTATCCCCCAAGGGGGCATGGTCCCACTAAACCGTCCAAGTTCCTATGGGGAAAACTATGATAATCCCCCATGTTTGTTCAGGGCCAATCCATCATCCATTAGAATGATCAAAATGATGGTACAAATGATGATAAACATTGATAAACATTGATAGACCATGTTTCAAACTATGGTTTATCTTAGATGTCAATCTATAAATGATGATAAACATGATGATAAACCATGGTTCATTAAATATGGTTGATCCCACATTAAAAAAAACATTTTATATAGATAAATCATGTTGTTAAAATCATTTTATATAGATATGAAAATATGTATCATCATAAACATGGGTATGATAAAAATCCTCTGTTTTCCCATTCTGCGGCAACCTGCGGCAAGCTGCGGCAATGCGGCAAGGAGTGGTGGCCTCGTTGGATCGAGAGATGATTGCCATGACGCCCACCTACGATGTGATCCGCCCGGACGGTGGCCCGGCAGCCGGAAAGGATGACTGGAAAACCATGGGGAAAACCATGGGAAAACCCACCATTTTTCGATAGGTAGATCATGGTAAATCTCCGCCATCTGTTTGATGGTATTTATCATGTGTAAAGAATGGGAAAACTGGAAACAAACACTGGAAAACGAGCATCTTTCATAGGTAAATCATGGTATATCTTTTTGGTTGCGTCTGCATTCGGTCTGTGTCACTCTCGGATTGAGTCACATGATACCCCAATGGTCTAAATCATGGTATATCAGTATCTGTTTGATGGAATTTATCATGTGTAAAGAATGGGAAATCCGTGGAAATCCCGTAATGGCTGTTGATAGCTGCGAAAATCTGGTAGCCTCTGGTAATTTGTTGCATAGCCATGGTATAGATGGCCATTCTAAATAGGTAACTCATCATGTTAATCATCTATCAATGGGTTGTGTTTCATAGCTACGTTAAATCACCAAAAGGGTTTTTCAACGGGTCTCATGATATTTGTTCACACCACTTTGGTCTTAAATCGTCTAGAAATGGATGAGTTTCCACGTGGGATTACCTCTGGGGTCATCAAGTTTGTCACGACCTACAACCTACTTGGAGGATCATCCCGAGCGCAGCTGGTGAGCTTCTGACGTCAGATTCGTTTCGGGAGTTGACATGTTACCCTACTGTGGATGGGCCAGCGAAATCCGATAAACCACCAATTTATGGGATGGTGTTGAAACCCTATAATCCTGCACCACCAATTTGGGATGGTGTTGAAACCCTATAGATAATATATGAAATCATGGGATGTTTACCATCTATCAATTGGTGATAACCGGATTTTCGCAACAACCATCCACCGGTGATGTACCCTGATGGTTTCAAACGCCGTCCCGTGGGACGAGGCAGCAAGTTCGGACGCATCAGCAAAGCCATGCTGGGCTTCACCGAAACCTTCGAGTTCTTCCTTGAAGGCACCGGTGGAGTAGCCATTAGCCTCTGGTTATGTCAAAATAGCTATTGAAAATGGCAATTTCTAGTGAGTTTTCCCGTTAAAAATGGTGATTTTCCATAGTTATGTTAGTTTACCAGAGGGTAATATCCATGAATTCAGATGATATTTAAACATTGAACATGATTAAGATTACACTGAAAACCTAGAATTGGATTTTAATATGGGATTTCATGAGAGTACATGTTCAACTGGTGGCGCCCCTTGTTGGGATGTAGGAGTTCTTCATCCTTAGCTTTCTGGCGCTTAGCTTGGCCAGGCGATAATGGTGGGCCCATCCTGAAAGCCGATTCTCGCTGCATTCGAAGATTGATTTACCCTCCGGTAAACATACAAAATTTTCCATTGATTTTTCACAATGCCATAAACTATCCATTTGGGAATGGTTGATACTACCTATTATGGTCATCACCCTCTGGTAAACGTTTACAGTTCGCGAACTGGAAAGATCCACCATTTTTTATGGGTAATTCAACTATTTCAATGGCAATTTTTTCAATAGCTTTGTGTAAACGTTTACCAGAGGGTATGGGAAAATATTCACCCTAGTTATAAACCATGAAATATAGGGGCTGACTTCGAAAATTTCCCTTTATCCACTGAGATTCAATCGATTTTGACATGCTGTTTTTTTTGTCGCATTCAAGACAGTTTCAACTCATTGAAAGGAAAATGATGTTGATAGATTGGAATATAGAACGATTGGAAGATATGAACCATCATTAACAATATAGAACGATTGTTAATAGAACATGTTTTTTCATTTATTGGAACATTAACCATCAGCAAAACCAGTGATTATGAAAACCATGGAGTTGTCAGATATGAAACTGTCCAGATGTTTGAAGGGTCCATAGCTGCCATAGTTGATGTTGGCATTGACTTCTGAGATTCTCGCGCCAGCAAATCATCGAATTTCTGCGGGACTCGCCGAGGGACTTTTTCACGATGTCACTATGTTATTTTGTATTCTACCCTCTGGTAAACATACAAAAAACTATGGAAAGATCCACCATGTTTATCCATTTTTAATGGGAAAATCCACTATTTCTATGGCCATTTTCAATAGCTATGCAAACGTTTACCAGAGGGTAAGTTTTTTTTTACATGTCATTGATTTCACAAAGATGTTCAACTACGTCGCTGATATATTTCCAGCCACAGTGCAGATTCTGGCCCCGCTTCCTTAAGCCGCGCAGACGTGCAGATTCTAAACATAGAACAATCACATAGCCCCACTTCCCCCCATTTCGTTCGATTATTTTTTTGGCAAGATTTGGACCAAGATTTCTTATGTTTGGTGACCGGTTTTTGGACCCAAGGAAGGCAGCTTCAGCGAGAGAAATTTTGAGTTCAAGAGCCGCGATGGTGCCACCGTGGCCACTGTTGGCAGAGGCGCCCCAGCGCAGCTGGGAGAACCCCTTTTTTTCGGATTCCGGCTATAGTCATTCCAAGTTACTTAGTAGCAACTCCCAAAAAAGATGGAAAAGAGTGGCTTAAACTGCTTGTCTATCGTCATAGTCCAAGATGTCCAAGCCTGTTGCAAAACCAGAAGAATGAGAATAATGAGGATCTTTCACCAGCATTTTCCGGCCCTTTCCGGCCTATTTCGCTGCCCGTGTAACAACGGCCAGGCTACTACCAGACAGATGCGGAGAACAGAGTCCTGGAATGCGAAAGCAGCTGTAGGTTGTTGGGGGAAGGATTGGAGCTCAACATCAACAGCCAACAGCTTCGTCCTGGTTGAGAACTTTGGTTGAGAACTGACTTGACATATACAGGTTCCACCCAAATGAGTTGCCGTGATTGGTGGCAGCTAAACTTACCTAATATTCATGGAGAAAATCATGGTAGACGATGTTTTCGTCCGGACTCTGTTGCTTATTATCCCATGATATCCACAGAAACTGCTTGGTTTACCACAGATTTCTGGGACTCAGTCACTTTATTGTCACACTATTCATTGATTCCCCTTCAAAAATTCAAAATATCCAGGGTTTATCATTATACAAATGCTGGATTTTTCTTGTTTTGACCCATTTTTCTGGGTTGTCCCATCAAATATACCATAAATCTGGCTTAAACCCCAGTAAAATCTCTATAAAATAATCATATAATATCATATATCCCCACATTTCTTGCCATGACATCAGCATTTTTCTTGCTTTCCTATCCATAATTCTGGTTCTCATCCATCTTGGCGCGGACTGATTGCAATGAATCCACGGTGCACAGCGAGCAGTGCAGCCGCGGACTGTTCGTAACGTCCTAGCCCAAGGGTCGTGCCAAGTCAGCACTCTTCCGGATGGGCCGCCTGGAAGTGAAACAGGCCAAACAATGACCAATTGCGTTCCTCAGATCTGGAGTCAAACGCAGAAGTATGCCCTTCTGCGGAGTATGAACTCCCAACCTGGCACAAGTGATGGAACGCAAAATTGGATCGAATTCCCCACATAAATTGGCAAGATACAAAAAGGTTTTCTGTACGATTCCTAAGTAATGCGCCAAAGTGGGCCTCTCAAAAAGAGTTGACTGCTCTTGGATCTGCCATCGACCAGAAACCGGATCACGATGGGGAAACAAAATCGGATCGACACGAACCAAAGCAACAGTGATCTCCAAAAAACTCACCGCAACAGGAACCTCAGAAACCTCATCATGAGAATAGATCCAAGCAATCAAAGCATGCAAAAAAGAAATTGGAAATCCGGTCTGTGCCTCAAATGTACAAAACTCCGGCAAAGATGAAAGGATATCACTAAAACTGTACAGTCCTCCTATTTCCTCTTCATCATCACTTGACTGAATGATCTCCACATTGGGCTCAGTGGCAGTGCCATGTGAGGCCTCATAGACGCCAAAGTAGTATTGACGCAGGCGGCAAAGGCGATCATGCCACATCGCATCCCATTGATGTTGTTGGTGCACCAAAGTCTGGAGGGCCATAGGACGCTCCGAATTGCAGCGGACGGCCATCTGGTCAACCTTCTGATTGTTGTTGGCGATCCATTCCTCAAAAGGGCTCTCACATTTGGATAGGTCCAAGTGGGAAGGGATCCAACTGGAATCCGCCAAGGCATCCACCCCGTCGTCCAGTAGAGCTTCCACCAGTAGCCAAAGGTCGGCGTTGACTCCACCCACATCACGTCGAATTCCCTGGCGACGAAGTTGAAAACCGTCGTGGACAAACTTGGCATCCATCCAAATGTGAACCCGTTTGCGAAAACGTAAGGCCCATTGCAGTGCACTGATAAGTGCGACCATCTCACCACGCCCAATGGTCTGTTCAAGACCCTGCACCGGTCCCGATGCCACTGGACACTGCGAAGAGGCGTTGAAAACCGCCCAAGATGCCGTATGGGTTTCCCAACGGCCTTGGGCAAAACATGAGCCATCCGTGAACAAATGGTCCATCTCCTCCTCACTGGGGCCGCTCGCAAACTCGGCAGTGAGATCCGGCAAGTGCTGGAAGTAGCTCCGCAGCGCCGCTGTAAATGGCGGGCTAGGGCAAAGCAGGTGCAGCGCAAAGCTTTGTGGCCAGGAGGTCATCTCCGCACTGGTCAAAGAAAACTTATCCCGTAAGTGTTGGTACTTCCTACAAACCAAAAGATGACTATGGGTGTTGGGACAGTTACAAATAGTACAAAGCCCCGATTTGGTGGAATCATATTTACTATGAATCCAGGAGTCAATGAACGCGCCACTTTGAAGAGCCGATTGCAGTGAGGCTTGATGAGCAGTCAGGTGCTTGTTGCGCTCTACCGTGTTGTAGCGGTCGATCCCATCCAGGTCCCTCATCGTGGGGCGCTGATGCATCTGACGTGCTACCTTCCAGAGCCAAGCATCTTGCAGCAATCGTTGCAACAGGCTGTTGTTGAGCAGCAGGAGGTCGTGTTGATCTCCATTGTGGTCGCAAACATGCGGCGGAGTCACAATGAACCAGCCAATGCTATTCAAAGTTTGAAGCAGAGTACTAAATGGTCCAGGTTGTAGATCCCCTTGAAAGGCATCAAACCACCAACGCCAACATGCAAACAATGACGTAGAGCGAAGGCAAAGGCGACGAAAAGTATTCACCACCAAAGTCACATAGAAAAAGCCAGGGTCCGCCAACATGGTAGTCTGCAAAGAAAACCTCAACAAAGCATTGGTGCCAGCCTGATTCAGGTGCAGGGCACGATTGGCAGATTGGCGCAAGTCATGAAGATGCCCTTCCGCAATCAGGGTGTTGGCCGCTCCATGCAAAGCAGAGGCCCAAAAAGACAAAGGCAGGACTTGTATTTTGGAGGCCTGTGGTGCCTTGCTTCTCTTCAGCCTCATCCATTTGGCGGTCAAAGTCTGGGCTCGAGCTTTGAAAAGCCGATTTCGTCGCGCTTTGCCAAAGCACATATTGCCACCCAATTCCATGGCATCTTGCTTCAAGACCAGGCCTAGATGACGCAGAAGTTCACGACTGCGAGGAGTCAAACCCCATACATAGGTCTTGTCCAAATCCACCTTTAAGCCCCAAAGGTCAAAGAAGCTGATGGTAGAAAAGAAGGCAGAAACCACGTCTAAAGTTTGAAACCCTGCTACCGTGAGGTTGTCCACGTAGCTGAACAAATGTACTGAAGGAGTCAGGACCTTCATGTACATGTGGTAGGCCCAATCGATGAGAATCATACCCACCACTGAGAGCGAGCAGCCTTCTGGCAGTCCTTGAGAGCTGGTAACCGCCGGACTCAATGAAGTGCGGACTTCAAAAGCACGCTCAAATGAATCCAGGAAATTTCGCCATGGACGCAAAAGGCTATTGGGCAAACCAACATGCTGAGCCAAAGCAAACAGAACATCTCGGTCAATGTTGTTGAAACACTTTTCCAAATCAGCACTGAAACCACTAAAGTCCAACTGGTGTTGGAGGCACAGTTCAATGTAGCTCTGGAGTCTCAGCCATACATTGGCACATTCTCTGCCCGGAAGAAAACCTTGGGCTGCATCTGGAACCACCACAGCCAGTCTTTGGATGACTGAGTGTGCTTGAAGTCGCGACCAGGCTCTGTAAATGCAGCTAAGTATGACCACGGGCCTGAAATGGGCCGGTAAATGAGGGTGGTCTCTCTTGGCCAGGCTAATGACCTTACCAAAAAGGAATTGGGAAGGCCAAGAACATGTCTGCCCATCAATCTGTCGCAAAAAATCCAGAAGCCGCTGAGTGGTCAGGGCTGGAAGATGCTTCAGATCTGCCACTGAGATTCCATCAACTCCTCTTGCTGCCCGCTTGGGAAACTTTGTCAGCGTATGCTGCCAAGTGGAAACATCCATGGTCGCTGAAGGAAAAGGCAAACTGGGCATATACGCCTGCACAAAGTTCAGGATCCGAGTCCAATCAGCAGAACCTATGTTGGAAGTTTTCTGCCATCGTGGCCGCCAGAGGTTGAGCATGGCCTCATGAATGGCCTCCAGTGATGTAAAGGAAATGGTCATCTTGATCTCATCTCCCACCTCCAAGTTCGCCGGCAAAGCTGGCAAGTGCAACAGGTCATCGTTGGCCGCAATGGGGTTGAGTTGCTGCCCATTGTGATACCATAGACGATTCGCAGCATCTGGGATGTTGCCGTCTAAATGGATCTGGTTGGTCTGCTGGTCAAAGTCCAGGACAGCAAAAGTGATGGTGTCCCAGAGAAAGTCCAATTGCCCCCGGCCAGGGTCTCGAAGTTCATGAAAGAGCGCATGACAGGTACGGTCATGCTTGGCCTGCAGCAACTTGCCTTTCTGTCGCAGGTGCCAAAGTTCGAAACGCTCGAAATTGAGCTTGAAGTCCTGGAAGATGATGAGGGCCAAGTCAGCTGACGGAGGAGCCATCGGCAGCGTCATGGGAGCTGCTGGCGATTTGTGCCGTCGTTGAAGCCACCACGCAGGGAAAGAATGGTTGAAGCCCTTGGCGCGTTTGATGGAATGCCACAATTGTAGGCGATACACCTCCGCATCAACCGTGTCTTTGTTAGCCAATGCGGCATGTTTGTAGCTTTGGAGTCGGCGCAGCTGCCGGAACCACTTGTGCACCGCCATGGAGACCAAATCTGATTTCAATGCAACTTCTCCTGGCCGAGAAGGCTTGGGAACAGTGGCAGCCAACAAAGATCGGGTAGGTCGAGTATGTTTGGCTCGTCCTTGACAACGTGGAGGGAGTTGGCCATCTGGTTGGTTTTGGACATGCCCATGTAGTTGTTGTTCCCAATGCGCAGCCCAATTGGCCAGAAAGTCATCAGGAGATTGATGATCATAAGTAGGGCCAGGGTGTTGCATTATAGCATCATGCCAGGAAGTCAGATTGATCTGATCCCATTCTATGGGCGATGGTAGTGGCCATCGCGAAATGGACATTGTTGCCGAAGGCAATTGAAAGTCAGCGAAGACAGTCAAATGATCCGCAAAGATGGACATGGTGCCAACTTGGGTGCATAGATTTGCTGCCTCTGGAGAAAGCCACATCAAATCCACCATAGTAGCCTGTTTGCAGGTAGGAGTTGGCGTATGTCCCCATTGCGATTGAGCCATCATCTGAACTTCAACCCAGCCATAATGGCGCCATATGTGAAAGGCATCCAAACCAGAGGGATTGTTGAAGTCCCCCTGGATGATACGGCAACCGGTAGCACCGATGACCACCTGTTGAGTGATGGTGGTGAGCATCTTGTCAGTGAGCTCCCGGTGCTTGGGCCAGGTCGGTCCGGCTGGGAAGCCATGCACTGAGGCAATGGTAAAGTCTGTGGGGCCAACAAAATGTCGTGAAACCATGACACGGCCTGCATCTCGTTCACCAAGAGTCCAAGGGATGGCAAGTTCCTGAGATGGGAAGTCTGCGATGATGCCCACGCCTGACCAAGTCCCTGCCGTATCTGAGTTGTGCCTGTAGGAGACAGGGGCTCCAAAAAGGGAACGGATGGAGCGATTCTGTTGGGTGCCATAGGCTGCCAGAGTCGATGCTGTAGAGCGCTGAGTCACCGCTGTCAAATGGGTTTCGGAGAAAGTCCAAATGCCAGGTCCCAATGAGAGTGCCGAAAGTTCTTTCCCTCTAAGTCCACAGGGATTTGAGCAACCAACCCGCAGGTGCTGAAAATCCAAAGAGTGGCTGGGACTGGCTGAGGCCTCAAAGTCCAAGTCCATAGGGCCCGGGTGCTCAGCTTCCCCAAAACGGAAACCATTGTCCCCAGAGAACGGAGAACAGAGGTCTGTGCCCCATAGGGCGGAACTGGGTATGCCAACATGTTCGAAGTCCATCGATGTTGGAGTGAAAAGTTGAAGACCTTCTGCCCACACCCAAGGCATCAGAAAGAAAGTCCAAAGCAACCATGAAAACCATCCTCGCCTACCAGCGGTTGCAAACTGATATCGAGTGTGCCCTAGTCAAGTTTCCGTTCTGGATTTCTTGGCCAGCATCGACTCAATGCGATCAAAGCGACTGGCCAGCTTGGAGTCAAGCGAAGGGTCAAAATCGCGTTGCATAGCAGCCAAAGAACCCTGCAGTGAACTTTGCAAGATCTGCGTCTTGTTGTCAACCTCTTGTTGGATCGTCGCAATCTGGTGCGCAACTTGTTGGCCTTGTTGTTCCACCACATGCTGAAGGTGGGTGAGTTGCTGTTCAGTAGAGGTCATTCGTTGGCCAGCCTCCTGAAACCGAGATTGAAACTGAGCTCCTTGTGCCTGAAGTTCAGTGATATTGACTTGCAGGCGTTGGATGGCAGGATCCTGTGCAATTTCCAGCCCAGGGGGCGGTTGATGGACATGCTGCTTGATGGTCTCCTGGATGTGTTCTTGTAGTTGTTCAAAACGACGTGCAGGAGCTGCAGAAGAAGCTGTCAGAGAGGAGACGGGTCGAAGGTTCGCCCAAGGATCTGCCCCATTGTGCCAAGGATCATCAGTGGTCGAGGTGGTAGTACCCTCTTTCAAGAAGCGTCTGGTTTTCTGTGAAGCTACCACTGGTGGTGATGCCGTAGTGGAATGCACTTCTTTGTGTAGAGTGATGAGCAAGTCTCTGTCAAAACCACGCATGACTGGGTTTGGAGGTGGTGAGTCAGAGCCAACTGCCCATCCTTGTCCTTGATGATTGCCCCTGGTAGTTTGCAGCGGCTTGGCCGTCCAGCCCCAGGCAGCCAGCAGTTTGTTGATCTGTTGGCGGGAGAGGCCATGAGGTAGGGGAAAGATCTGGTAGATCTGCTTGATCTGGACTGCCACATATTCATCATCCGGACGAAGTGCTTGGTGAGCCTGCTGTTCATGTTGAGCTCGAACGCGAATCCCAAAGCGCTGGTTCATCTTGGCCAGGGAAAGTCCATGATCGCATGTTCTGAGGCGATGCAGGGCTTGCTCAAGAGTACGGCCCGGCAGCCAAATCACGCTGTAATCTGGGTGTGGACCGCGTTCCAAAGGAGCTCTTGGTTCCACATACAGGCCTTGAACATGGAGCCGAAGAAGTTGTTCAAGGGCTACTGATGGAACTCGTAGAAGGGCCTGAAAGTAGGCGGCTTGTCCTGCTTTGGTGGTTTTGCCATTCATGTTGCAGAAACTCCGTGCCCAAATGTCCAAGATGAGTCCAGGAAGATCTTCGTCAATGGGTGGATGATACAAAGGACATTCAGCACCACATTGTCGGCCAGAACAGAGCCGAAAGGATGGAGCCAATTGCAGAAGAGCTCGAATTGGACCACCTGTGATTTGCGACCAATCCATGGAGAGCTCCTCTCGGTGCATCTGGATTCTGATGATGTCAGTACTGGAAACCTCAAGGTCAGTGGCTTGATCCTGTTTCCGATGAATGGCTCCGTCACTCAGGGTCAAGAGTGAACCTTGGAGCAACATAGGTTCACCCGTAGCGGCACATAGAGCAGGATACTGCAAAGAATGCAAGTTGGTTGCTCGATGTCCTTCGGCAGAAGCTTCAGACGTGATGAGCAAGCCCAGCGTAGTGGAGCTGATGTTGTCCGTGGCTTCCATGAAGGGTTGTGCCTGGCGCAAGGTGCAGAAAGCAAGTCCATGAGCATCCTTGTCAACTTCAGAAAACTGAATCTGAGGGATTTCGTCTCCATCATCATCCACAAAAGTGTTGGGAACCAACTTGAGTGAGATGGGATCCACTGGTGGAAGTGCTGTGGTTGGAGCTGAGTGCTTCTTCTGCTTCGGTTTGGCAACATGAGCACCATGCTTGGATGAGGCTTGCTGGTTGATGTGAGCTTTCAACTCGTAGTCTTTGATCAGGCGCAGTCTTGTGGATGGCCTGGATGCCAAACTCTTCAAAGCGGCCCATGCGTTGGAGGCTATCAGAGCTTCCGCCACAGCATTAAGTCCAAGGGTTTTGATGACATCTTGAGCCCGTTGATCAGAATCTGGTTCAGGAACTCCTTTGTCAACCAACAGGGCTCTGAGTCGTTCAGGGACTTCTGTTGGAGAACGCCCCATAGCCCAAATGTGTTCTTCCGCATGAGGCAGGCTGCAAATGTGTTCATGGAGTTGCCATTCATCCGTGGCAGAAAGAGGGGCATTGCCGTGAAGCAGACAGAAGAGCTGCCAAAGAGCGATGGTTCCACATGTGTGGGCATGACTTTGCAAAGGAGTTTGATGAAACTGCAGGTTCACAGTGGACTCCCCCCAAAGCAAACTGAGTGTCTGGGCCAGTTGTTGTGCCTGTGGCCTAGCTGTGGAAGAAAGTCCATCAAAGAAAGTCCAATGACAGCCAGCATCGACACGCTGATCCCAGAGTAAAACCCAGTGTCCTCGCACAGCGAAAATGCAGATCATATGGTCACGGAGTGGGACAAGAAAATCCATGCCCTTGAAAGTCCAAGATGAATCCTGCAAAAGAGCTTGTGCAAGGAGAGGATGTACCAGTTGCACCGCGTCCAAGTGGTTGGAAAGCATGGCACGCATCATCAACCAGATGTGTGCATCTGACAGGCCCTGCTGTTGGGCTTGTGGAAGTCCATGTGCAGTCAAGGTCATGGAAGATCCTGAGAGTCTGAGTCGACGACAATGCCAGATGCGTTGATCAAGGCCATAAAGCTGGTTGTCTTCGTCCATGCAGGGTTCAGTCAGTGGAAGTCCACATTGGAGAAGAGCTTGAAAGAGAAAGTCTCCGGCTTGCAAAAAGGCAATGTGGATCTGGGACTGATAGTTGATGGCCAACACCACCGAACCTGAGGAGGAGCATGGAGATGAAGGTTCACCTACCCGGAGCAAGTAGGGACCATGGACTCCCTGTTGCAAGAGCAGTTGATGATCCGGAAGTCGGCGCGGGCCATCCCAGAGTTCCAATGCTGCTCCAGGACTTAGATGTTGAGCTTGAGCCTGCAGCAAGGCCTCCACTGTGACGAATCCAGTCAGCCGCATGGGAATGAGACCATCGACATCACATAGGGCAAGGGATCGTGGAATCGAATTGGAAGACCCGAACAATTGCTCCAAGTCCAAGAGCAGTTGCTGTCGGTATGCTGACAGGGCTGACTGTGCACAGTCCAAAGTCTCAATGCGAGTGTGTCCCTTGGCCAAAGATTGAAGACATGAGAAGACCCAGAGTGCCTGAAGTGGAGAGGCCACCGAGCCCAGAAGGCAAAGTGCACCACGGAGAGAAGTCAAGTGGCTCATAGTCGCTGGAAATCCAAGGAGAGCAGCAAGTTCCACTGGGTGCAAATATCTGGGCTGATGCAGTTGAAGAGAAATCACAAAGCATCCACGAAGGCCTCTTCGTCGCAATGTGCCATCTGCAAATGGGTGAGAGCGAAATCCACAAGGACAGGCAGACAGAGCACATCCGTATGAATGGAGAAACGTCGGTGCCATGTCAGAATGTTCTAACAGGCGTTTGTCCAGTCCAAATTCAGGAGATTGATATGCTGCCAATTCCTGTGGGTTCAGTAGAAGCTCTTGCTCTTGGGTAGAAGGCCAACAGCCCCAACTAGGCAGAATGTCCCCCACCGTCTGAAAGTCAGAACTTGTAGGCCACTTCAACAAAGTAGTGGATTGCCATGAGGAAGAACAAAGGATAGCCCACCAACGGTGTCGTCGACATGGCCATTGATGGGAAAGAGCCAAGGTTGTCTCATGGATCTGCCATCCCATGATGCTAGCTAACTCCATCAAACCAAAACGAACTCCCTTGTCAAATTGGGCTTGCGGAGTACACTCCAAAACAAGACAATCCACAACATGAAGGTATGCCGTGCGGAGGACCGCCACGAAAACATGATGTCTTGGATCCATGAATCCCGCCCCCAATCCTTGTGTCGAATGAGGTTGGCACGGAAAACCTGCTGACAACGTGGAAGCACAAACTCCCCCGGCCACATGTAACTCTCCTTTTGCAGAATCATTGCCAAGATCACGACAAAGGACATTGCCGTTGCCAATCTGGTTGAGTTCCATGTGCTGACAGGCCAGCGGGTTGCTATCAAGGGCAGCCACCACCTGAAATCCAAGGACAGTTGCGCCTAAGCCCAGGCCGCCGATGCCGGCACATACCTCTTTGATCAGAGGCGTGGAGTATGGCCCTTCATATGGCACCAAACGTGATTGATCATCCATGTGGAGAAAACATGGTTCCATCGTGAGGACAACCGCATCATAAACCGTGAAAACATCATGGCAAATGTGCTTGTTGAAGAGTACTTGAAACTTCGTCCCTACCAAAGTGGCCTCCAGAAGATCATCTTCAATGAGCCGCCCAAAACGAAAGACTCCCGAAAAGCGTTCCCCATGCTCGGAAGGCAAACGAAGAAATGAAGGGGGCTCCATGGGGTATGAAACAATCTCCCGGTGATTAGCTGTGAATCGGTTCTACCACTGGAAGGGACTCGGGCCAGAACTTCTCATCCATCTTAAATCATCAAAATTCCAGACTTTCCCATGGATTTCCCTATGAGTTTTCCGTGATTTCAGGATACCACGTGGTGGTCGGACCCCAAGTGGATGCAACTCTGGTGGTCGCTATGGCCTTCGCCATCGACGTGGCTTCGTTGAAAATTCACGTGGTACAAAAATGTGGGAAAATCATGGGAAAATATGGGGAAAATCATGGAGATGCTGGAAAATGATGTGAAATTCTTGAAAACATTGCTGGAATTTGACAAATACTGGAACATGATGATTCATGATGATCAGTTTTTTTTGCTATGCGCAAAAACCATTACTAAGGACGTCCCCAAGGTTTTGTAAGACGAATCTATCATGGCTGAGGCAGACGTCATGAACTGCATGGTATTCTCGGTATTTTTGTGTACCCTCTGGTAATTTAACATAACTATGGAAAATCACCATACTATTCATGGGAAAACTCACTA